GAAACGGCTCGATCAAATATGATTAAATTTTTACACACGCACACAATCTTTCTCCCGCCACAAAAATGTTCCGTTAAATAAAATTTGTAAAAAGTAACAATTTAGTATTCTTTTTATAATGGACGGAACAGACATAATTTCCTACCTATGTATCCATTTGACACCTTCCCATTTCCGTACCGAGTTGGTTGGCTTCAGTTCCAAGCCACTAAGACTACAATAGGTGTAGTATGGCTAAGGTGTTTTTTCAAATTTACATTTTATCCCACCCCTAAGACTCGTCACGGACGGACAAACCAGTTTCACGGTACACAATACTGTATGTATCCGCACACTCGCGATATCTGCGCTGGATTTACGAGCTTGTACTTAGCTATAAATAGGACCTCATATTACAGTATTGCCTGTAATTCAAGAGGTAAATGAGACAAGCAAAAAAGTAATTCTATTAAGAAATATGATTCGATTATAATATGCAAACATATGGGAGTATATTTTACTGTTTTACAAATCAACATAGGTACAAAATAAAGGTGCAAAAAGTACTATACTCCCTCGTATATGTAGGTACGTCAGTTAAAATATTTATTTATTTTTTCCCTAGGTACCTACTATAGAGTAGGAAAATGTTTGCAAAGTAATGTTTAATAAAACAGATACTTTGCTCGAATTTAAATCGTATATACATTAAAAATCGATTTTAGATTTTTTTTTAAATACGACACGGACCTGACTTGAACCGGCGTCCGTTGCGTCCGTGCTGTTTGTTTAACCAATTGATATATTATTACATATTCGGAATTTAAACATAGGGAAGGGTAACACTTAATTAACATATAAAGGCAACAAAGGGTTCACGCCCCAAAGCTTAGTTGTTTAGGCGTAATAAATGATATGCATACGTCTCCCTCCATCACAATTCATTAAATACAATGTCGCGTGACCGTTTTGCATGACTTTCGCTTATGATAAACACTTTCTGAGAACTCAATCTGAAGTAGTTTGGGCAAGATCCAAGCTTTAATAAAAGTAAAGCGCATCCAACCACACAAAAGTCATGTATAGATAGATAGAACAACAAGTACTATGAAAAATATATCACATAATAATAAACGGTAACAGGTAGTTCTTAATTCATCTTACTTACTTTAAAAATATAAAAAGAGAATAAGATATCACTGAATGTTAATGTTGATCCAAACGGTAAAATTCTTCGTCGGCCACTCCGGTCCTAGGATCGCACACGGCGTGAGTTTCTCATTGTCAAATAATAAGCGGGAATTAAATCTAATCACCAAAATATAGTCTACCATATTGTCCCTCGGCGAAGCGAAGAATAAACATCTCCTGAAGATGCCATCTACGTAGGTATGCCAGCGAACGGTAGCCTCTGCATTCAGGCGATAAACTCTCACATGTCGTAATATTAAAATACTCAAATGACGCTACATAAGTGACAGCAGGCACTTAGTGCTGTTATAATTTACAGACAATAAACAATGCTATCAGAAAGGCCCCGACCGATCCGCGAATAGCGAACAATGGACAGAAACCTATAAACAGCCACCGAATCGCCGATACTGGCGCGTTCACGTTGTACAGTAGAGTTTGAAATATTCGATCCAGGCTTGCAACGAATAGTATAATCATGACATATTGTAGCACCGAAATTCAAACAGATTGAAAGCCCTCTGTGCAACTCTAATTCATTCAAATACCATATTATAATCGTAACTTGCCTAGCACAGAAGATGATTTCTTAAATGATTGTGAGAGAATAGATATAAGTAGATATATTTCATATCTGTTTTATTATTTTTCATTTTTGAAATTATTGAGGCCCCATAGCAAAATACACAACTCAAGTATTCGGTATTCGGCCGAATTGTATAAAAGGCGCAGAATATTCGTCGTAGGCCTAATTATTAATTCTAATTACTTAAAAAGAAATAAAGGCTAAAAGCAAACGCAGGGTCAAGTCACAAGCAAAATGATACGTATACAAGATACCGTAAAAGGATTTGCTCTTATGTCACATCTCTTTCATTGACGTAAGCGCCATCTAGCACCTGAGGCTGGTCACAAACTTATCATTATCACGAGTAATATGTTTTGAGGTGATGGCGTTTGTTATTGTTCCACGCACGTAGGCTTTAACAATTGTATAGAAATTATGTTTATTTTAGGTGGTTATAGCAAAATCCATTAAACACAATTATAACATTAGAAAATAGGAGGCGGCAATTCGTTGTAATGTTGTTTTATCGTTAATATTTAAATGAGTAAAACCGTTCGGAATAAAATAATAATATGGGGGTACTTTTGTTTTTTCAATAAGAGGGCTAAACGAAGGTAGCGCACGCTGGCAGACGCTTTTGGGGCCGCCCGTACGATTTAATTGTGGACAATTTTTTAATCATTAAGTTTGTGATAACTAAATAGGAGTATATGATTAACTCCCGTAATGTAAGAAAGATTTCGAAATATATTGATATTAATTTCCGCAAGTCCAGTGCCTTATTTTGAGTTTTCGTTAATTCAGTGTGCGTACTACGTGGTGACATAACTATAGTCGACCTCCTTTGTTTCTTAATATATTTCTATTTTCTCTTCTATGGGCGCCCTCTAGTCCCAGTTACGATACCGACAGACATGCCACAATGGCATTGAACAAAAAAGACAACCGCTGGATCGGAGGTATGTATACTTGTACATTGTTACCGTTTTTGTCTTTGAGATACAAAAACACTTTATTCAATTACAAACCCTTCTATAATTAACCATTTAACCATAAGTATAGCCCCTATTTTTGCCTTAAAGCTTTTTATTGAGTGAATTCGTAATCAGCAATAGATGAAGGACAATTCAATATCTAATCTTATAATTAGCATAGATATTTTTTTACATAGAGGAGGACAGACAAACCCATACTCCACTCAATGGTAGCTGACATACGCCAGCCAAATAACAGGAACATAGAGGCGCTTGAGGCGCTTGCGACTCGTTTAGGCTTTGGACATTCGTAAATCCGTAGACTGACGTCGAAACGCGATAAGACTTCTCGGTTCTGTCTTCTCGGGACGGTGGCTAATGGTGACCCGGACCGAATTTCGATTTAATATGCTGATTTCCGGACGAAGTTTCAGAAAAATTATATATTGATTTTAAAAATGCCGGACCCTGCGGCGACCGAACAATTGAACCAACGGGGCCGTCGTTTTTGTGTGCTTTTATCGGTCGATCCACTTTTCTCGAACACTTTCCTTCGAAATGCCAAAGCGCCTGCTTTTACTCAACTATAATTCCTATACGGTGCCTCTCGAGCGAATGGTCACCGCGGGTTTCCACGTTTCCGTCTTGTCATCGACGCCGAGTATGCTGCCTTCGCTCGTTTGAATAATGTATGTCGATGGAGCCCTGCGTGGCATTTCAATGTGTAGGATCTGTAAATGAGAGTGATACCGATCTGGTTCAAACATTGAAGTATAGAACTCTTCAGATCGTTTAGCCCTTTTGAGGAAGTCAGACCGTTCGATGTTTCTGATAAAATAGGAGTACTTTTTGGAGCCTAACGAGGCGTACGATAGACAGATAGTTGAAAGAACTATAAAGCAGACTACGCTGCGACTTCAAAGTAATAAATTAGCCGTATGATTGTGTGTATGGTACACTTTCTAGCCAAAATGACTCGTTGAATTGCGACGTGGTTCTGTAAACAACTGGTTATTGATAAAGAGCTGTCAGCAGATCGAAGTCCTTCAGAGGAAAGCGACCTCACTTGCCGCAATTAGGTCGTTTTTAATTTAATATTGTCTCGAACGACTTAATGCGGACATGTTGGGGTATAGGTTTTTTTATACATCGTTGCATGCATGCAGACAGATCTTGCGGTGTATGAACATATTTGAGTTGCATTTATGGCGCAAGTTTTTGAAAGGATTTTATTCGTTTACTTTTGTTGCCGATGTCCGGACATGGCATATTATGGAGATTTGGCGTATTGAACACTAGCTATCTCGGCGACTTAACTTTTAAAAGATAGACACAACACACAGTCGCGGACGACAACGAGTTGTCACTGTATCTTCAAGTTGGCTAATAACAGATTATTATTTGTCATGTTATCTCCGCCTAATGGTCGCGATAGAACGCTTTCATCCTAATGCGGTCGCTAAACTAGCTTTAAACATTTTTCACTGAATTTGAAATATCTTTCAAGGTTCCTCGCACGTGAGCGATTTTAATTTCTAATGAATCTCTTCTTCCAGAATACTTTTTACAAAATTCGTGACTCGAGAAGGATTTAATTAGAACTGCCGACCTCCTTCATTTCATTATTTGCTAGGTGAAAAATCCTTGCGTTCACATATTTTTATCAATGCCCTATCGACGGCCGAAAGTAGGACGGCTATATAAGGGTAAGAGCACACGAAGCGGGGCAAGGGCGAAAAGTCGCTTTATATGGTCGCGGCCTTAGCGGCCAGATGGCGTTTCGCGGGATTTTATTCAATGAGAATGTTCTTGTTTTACCTAAATATACCTGGTAGAATATAATATCGAGATTTACGGCCGGATTAAAAACCTGCCTGTTTACATAGACGAATTGAGAGACTGGTTTTTACGGGGATTCAAGTGGTGGCTATCAAATGACCAATTTAACACCTTCTCTCTATGCATATTTAATGTTTTACCGTTTAATTTATAGTTATGGTCTCTCACAATAACGTGAAGGTAATATTAATTGTGCGTCTCGTCGCCCTGTCTCATAATACGCATTGTGCAACAAAAAACTCTGCTTCTAACTTTAAAGATACGAAAAGATAAGTCACTTAACGTTGGGGTTGTTTAACAGACTAGGGCCATAACGCGTTAATGTCGGTCTACTTATAGATAATTCAAATTGAATTTTACAATGCCATTATTAACTAAAATGAAATTCAGAAGATTTGATTGGAATAACACTTTAAACAATAAATTTAAATATGTCTCTTTGTTGCAGAATGTCAGACGGTGACGTTTCGTTGATTCGCGACGAAGACGTGTTGCGACGTATGGTGAGTCTGGCGAAGGCATCCGACACAAGTCTTGATGTTGCACTCTTCCTTGGCAGTTATATCTTATCTCAACACATTTTACACACTAAACCTAAGTTATACATGATCTGCACAGATTACATTCAAATGTGCGGAGATGTCTTGAAAAGTGAATTATCCATGATTCTAGTGGCAACAGACGGAGGACTTCTCTCGAAAGAAGGAGATCCGCGCCCACATGTATCGACTGCGAGAGGAGCGCCTGCGCAATCTCTACTCTCCGGAACCCACGCACGAGCCGGCCAAAGGTATACCCCTCGAATAATCTTTCAAATAAGAATATAAGCTAAAAGCTTTAAACGTGGAGAACTCGCTTGGTGTCTTCTGGGGTCAAAAATATGGAGAAGATCTAAAGTTTATTGTTTATATATAAAATAAAGAAATTGTCCTTCTATTACATCATTCGACAGGTTGTGAGTTCTCATCTACCCAGGGTCACGTGAAGTCATTCGCGGACCAAAGCTTCCAGTCGATGAAGAGCAAGGAGGTCCGTGACGCGGGCTCTCCGCCCAAGGAGTTCACGTACCGCGGCCAAGGTGCCTACCGCTCCCTGAAACTCAACCTAACAGAACTAACTCATTAACCAGTAACACACCGGAAAAATGATGCACGGTTCTGACGCCCGTTTTCTGTGTTCCAGATCTCAATGAATTCTCCAATGCCGGGTGGAACGTCGAGTCTGAAAACAGAACGGCCGACGACGGACACACACGAGTGAAGACGGTCAACGCCAATATCGAGGGTAGTTACGACGTCGACGGAGGCAGGGGACAATTCTCGGCTGCCGATCATCACAAACGAGCCGTCACTGAGTACGAAGATGGAAAAACCAGCCTAAAGCGCAACGAAGATTACTCCAACACCTCCTCTCGTGAGCAGGTCGTGCGCGACACCGGTAAAGGAACACATTTTACTTCGACCAGTAGCTTCTCCAGCTCTGCTTCAAAATTTGAACAGTTTTCATCGACGCAGCGTGAGACGCTGCCGTATTCAACAAACGATAACTACCTGGCATCACAAAGAACCTATGACACTAACAAAAATGAAGAATTTACATCCACAAAAGTAACGAACACAAATAACGAACAAAACGTAAGAAATGAATACGATCACGGTGAACTTGTTTCGAGAAAAATCGATTATCCCGATGACAACACGAAAGTTATCGTAGAGACGAGATGCCTCCCAGATGGCACAAGGGTGACGAGCACTCGGCGAGAGTTTCGCGCGCCGAGCGTTCAACCGAGCCGTACAGAGCGTCATTCTCAGCAAACGAGAAGCGAAAGCAATACATTTAGTTCGAATCAGAAGAAAACTCAGAGTAGCGAATCTACAAAAGTTATCGACGATTCGACTGAAAGTACCATTCGTGATATCGTCGATTCTCAAAGAACAAAAGATGATTATGATTTTAAAAAAACGAATATATCGGAAAGCAATGATGACTTTTCGCGACGTCGATACCATCATGATGTAAACAAAAATGAAAACGATGAAAGAATCACCCACCACGAGAACCGGAACATTTGCAGGCAAGAAGTTTACAACATTGAGGACAGCGACAATAACATTCGAGAAACAATAAACTATAAAGGCCAAGTAAAACAAAATGATAAGCGTAAACTCAATGAAGATTATAGCACTGAATCGTATGTTGCGAGTGACACCCAAGATACCACACACGAGGAAAAAAGCACAGAATTGTTTAAAAATGACAGCATGGATGAAAGCCACACTGTGAAAATAGGTAGGCCAAAAAGCCTTGATGACATTCCCTCAAGACAAGTTCAACATGACAGGAGTCAGCAAGAACACATAAGGGATACGATCAAATATAAAAACATGGAAGAATGCGTTCAGAAATTTACAAAAGAAAGTACTGTACAAGACAATGTTAAAGAAAAATCTGTCAATAATTATCAGACGACATATGAAAGCGACTATGCTCAAAGAAAGATAAGCAGCGATTTGAGTCCAACTCATCAGGCGTGGGCTAGCACACTTCGTGCCGACACACCATCTCGCCAATCGACCCGACCTCCTTCTCCGGGAGGTAAGACACAGTCAAGTACAAGCTCGCTTCGAAACAGCGTTAGCCCCGACAAATATTACAAAAGGACACCGAGCCGTAGTGGAAGTCCAAATAAAAGTGACAAGTATTCTCCGTCAAGAACCTTTTCGGAAAAGACATACTCAAGTACTCATTCATCGACACAATCTGTGACTGAAAGAAAATCAAACGCGTTTACAGCTACTGATACTGAATCGTTTAAAAACAAATCACCTACAAGGCGGTTACAAAGCCCAGATAAAAGTCAATACGAAACGCCTACACGAAAAAGTGTGAGTCCAGAAAAACAAATGAGGCCGTCCACAACGCGCTCTTATACGAGTCCACTGCGAAAATCTGAGCCGAGATCCATTTCAAGTCCTGAAAGGAAAACTTCACTCAATGAAAGAGAATCCTCACCGACTTTTAGCAGTCCTAAAAGAAATCAGGATAGCATTAAGGACGATGTGATAACAAGTATAAAGTCTTCTACAATTATCACACGCTCCAAAGAACATGAAGAAGATAAAAGTACGAGTGTAAAAGAAACACTACAAACTTCAGAAACACCTGCATATCAACCTGGTTATATGAGACCTACAGCTTCTAGCTTACCAAAAACCGATGGTTCTCAGTCACCAACTAAACAGCATGACCGTGCCCGTAAATCTTCTCCAAAGCATCATTCTCTTAGTCCCGATAGAAAATCTCCCGTCTCTAAGATTGACCAAGTTAAAGAAGATCATCGACAATTTATTAGTGAAGAGTACAAATACACCAACATTAAAGAAAATATAACTTCCTCAGTTATAGATCAGAACGTTTCCCAAAAAGACAACTATGAACAGCACGGTACAAAACCACGTAAGTCCTCGGAAAGTCCAAATAGAAATTCACTCAGTAGAAAAAGGACAGTACAGGAAACGACTGAGAGAACTTCCAGTAGAGAAACTCAGTTAACGGATGACGTTGATAAGAATATCATAAATTTAACGTTAAAAGGAAAAAGTCCAGACACCTTTAATACACATGCCACCCCAAACAAACAGCCTTCTAGAGAAGCGTCGCCTATAAAAAGAAGTGAACATCCTGTAAAGCTTAATCAATTTGATAAATCTCCAACGTCAATTACACATAACCTTGAAGAAGAAGTCGAAGGTTCAAGAAGAACTTCAAAGGATCGCTCTCTAAGTCCCACTAAAGATATTCTTAAAGCCTCTACACCCACGAGAAAGCCATCACTCTCAAAGGAAACAACTGATATTAGTAGAATAACAGAGAGTAAAGACAAAACTTTGGAAAGATGTGAAAATAACGACAAGAAAATTACGTCCACTCGAAGAAGCAGTTCTCCGAAAAAACCTGTAAATGAAGTCGGAGAAAAATATAAACAAACCATTGATTTTATAAGAACAGAAAAAAAATGCGATGAAATGAATGCAAAATCAATTAAAAGCAGGCCAAAAAACCTCATTACTCCCTCTACGAGTCCTACGAGACAATCAAAAACTGACGATGACGCACCCTCTACTGAAAAAAGTTCACCAACTTCCATTGATAGTGGTTTCGTTTATTACGGTTCTCCCAGAGCTGAACAACAAGTAGTCACTGATTTGGATGACCAAGAACCGACAAAGGCTTCAAAATCGCCAACTGTTCTACACGATGTCCTGCAGAGAATCCCCTCTTCATCAAAAATACCCTGCCGGACACCTTCTCCTGAAAAAAATATACCTAAAGAACCTTTGCCTCGTAAGAGTTCGTTAAAAAAGCCTTCCATAGATAACAGTAATTTACCTTCTGTGCCAAAGCCACCGACTAGTTTTCTTATCTCACCTGAAAGAGAAATAAAAAATGTACTTGATACATCACAAGACAGTACTGACAAAAGCCCCAATAAACCAATGAAAAGTAAGCCGCCACTCGAAAGACGCGAAACTTATGAAGAAAGATGTAGGAAAATATTGGGAATGCTAGATACCACTACTACTACCACTACGGAAACGAAACGAGCTACTTCCCGATCTCGGAATTCTACTTCTTCAGGTAACTCACCTAATGCCTCTCCTTGTAGGAGTCCTATTCAAATAGAATCCGAAAATGTATGTCATGATAAATATGAAACAGTAGACGTATTAAATATGACTGATAATACGGTACACGTTAGAGAAAAATCTACTGAACAGTTTGAAACCTTAAAAACAGACGTGATTACGAAAACTAATGATGGCATATTGGTGTCTAAAATATCTAGTGAAAGTGCATTATTAGAAGATGAAGTACCACCATTCGCCGTGCCCGCAACAGAAGAAGATAAAAGAAAATCACATACTATGATTGCTTCAGAAGATTCTGCCGTAAAGGAAAATCGAGATGTGAACATAACGGATATAAAACAATCTCAAACTTCTCTGGTCACAAACAATATCGATATCCAAAATGTAGAGATAGTTCCTGAGATCAAAGAGAACGACAACCGTGACGTTTTAGATACAAGCACTAAATTTATTGTATCCGAAAGGGAACAACAAATACTTGACAGGGTTCAATCATCTTTACGTAAGCTATCTCCCGATCGTAAAGGAAAACCCGTAAATGTAACCTCCGATGAAAGCCCTGAAAAGCGCAGCGGCACGTCCCCCGCGAAGCACACAATCAGTCTCGAGAAACCAGAAGAACAAATTTTAGACTCGTTTAAAAATACGACCACACAAGTTACATCTGAAGAAAAATCGACCTTAAAGAAGAACGTCGGTCATAACAAGACAACCATCAAAAGTCAAATCCCAAGTAAACCTTCTTCTAGAAATGTATCGCCTGTAAAAAAGCCGCCTGGCTCTCCTACAATGTCAAAATACACTGCAGATGGTGGTAAACCTCGAAGTGTTTCTCCGAAAAAACCGATTACATCGACGGATAAAAAACCGAATTCACCAGTGGAAAGGCCGCAATCACCAAATGTCCCTAAACCAACTGCCGGGAAGATAAAAGAAGTTGCATCACAATATCAAAGAACATCCTCTTTATCCAGTATGAAAACTGATAAGACGATTACGACAGATGTGAAAAAGACTATATCGAATAAGCAACAAAGTATGTCAAGACTATCTCCAACAAAAACTCCTTCAAGTAAAATCTTATCTAATAATAAGTCTAATGATGGTGACATTAAGCGACAATCGGCCCCGAAAGGGACGCAAAAAGATACACCACATTTGCAAAAGAAAGAGGAAACAAAAGTGACACGTACGTCAAGTGACATAGGCTTAAAGCCTTCGAGTAAAAAAGTATCCCCACAAAGAATGAAATCAAAGCCAGAAATCCAGGTAAACAGTGTCACGACTAAAGTTTCTAAACAAGGGACTACGAGGCATCAAAAATCTGAGTCGTCGGCGAAATTGCCGGTTACAAAGCCAAAATCCGCTACAGCCTTAAACACACCCCTTGACGACGACGACATTATAATCGACGTGCAACAAGCAAAGTCGTCTAGAGAAAATTCACCTGATCGTATTTGTCCTACGCCAGTTGGTTTTTCAGAAGACATGGGCGTTCCTCGTTTTCCTGATGAAGTTAAAGAACCAGATGATGAATATAAAAGGCGTACACATCATGTGATTCATGAAACTGCGTCGGATGACATCGTGGAAATTTCTGAAGAAGATGAATTATTTGCCAAGAGAACTGAATCAGTACAAAATATGCACACAAATGAGGACATTCAAATCAGTGTTAATGGTAAAGTAACAGAATATATGAAAGGACCAGATATCAAACCTAAAGACACGACCACTAATCTTAGGAACACAGTGAGTAAAGTGCGTTCTAACTTGGTTGATGATATTTTGAAAACAGACGAATGTTTGTTGTCTGTTTCAGAAAAAGTAAACAAGTTTGCTAAGGGACCGGTCGGCTCTAAAGATCGAAGTCCCTCTCGTAATATTACCGAAGAGTATGATAGAGACACGATTTATACTGACGATTACACAAAATTGAGCGTCAATGACAAAGCGCACCTCTTTATAGAGACTGCGGAAAACGTAAAATGTACAAAACCCAAATCTGCTCAAAAACCCCAGAGACCAGATCTAACGAATGTTGAAGATTATTTAAAGAGTGATGAATGCTTACTGAGCGTATCCGACAAGGTAAACAAATTTGTTAAAACGGCAGAGCAAGTATTGTCAGACACATACACGGTCGAAGAAAAAGAGATGAAGATAAAAGAACAACATGATCAAATGATGAGACTAATAATTGAGAATGGAGATGGCCAACGGGACGCTACAATAGAACAGAAGCCCGTTAAACACGAACCTACAACTGAATATGTCAAGACACCGCAGCATAACGCACCGCAGGAAACGCATGACCATACTAAAAAGGCAACTTCAAAGTTACCCAATAAGCCTGCGCCTGTAAAGATAACTACTCAGCGTAGCAGTGAAGCAGTTAAGAAAGCAAAAGCATTGTTTGAAAATATTGCTTCAACGAACAACACAAAAGAAACTTCTCAAACTAAGAGCACAAAGTTGACTGACATCGGAGTGTCGATGAAAATGAAGAAGTCAACTTCTGATACAAAAGAATCTAAAGAAACACAACCAATAACTCAGCAGACCGTGTATGATGATATTTCACAATTGAGGGAAAAGTCCCCTGAAAACTATTTGAAAACCAAAACACCAACAACTAGAGAAAAGTCCCCTGTAAAAAGGACTATGTCACCCGTAGTTAGAGATAAGTCGCCAGCGAAAAGACCAATTTCACCCATTGCGAAAGAAAAAACTCCCAGCAACAGAACTCTAAGCCCAACAGCACGGGAAAAGTCGCCAGCAGCCAAGCCAATGGCACCCATTACGAGAGAAAAATCTCCAATCGCTCGAACGAGATCCCCCTTGGTAAGAGAAGAGACCCCGATAAGCAAAACGAGGTCACCAGTACCTCAGACTGCTACGGTCACGAGTAATAAGAAGGTTTTATGCCGTTTTCCTGTCACAGAGCAAATAAACTCCACAAAAGCAGGACCGGTGGAAGATAAAAACGACAAGGCCGTCGAAAAAGCAGTGCCTGGATATCAGCGTTCAACAAAAACTAGTCAGATGAAAGAAGACAAGTGTACTGAGGAGATTGAGGTGAGCAGCAGACGAGGCAGTGGCAAATTCGGTGTCGAGCTTCGCAGGACGAGCGCGGACAGATCGTCCGTTAGCAGCGAACGGCGTCGCAGCAGCGTCGATCACCACCAGCCTTGCATCGAGGATATATTCGACTTAGGCCTTCTGGAACAAATGGTATTATTATTGTTTGCTTTACGTTAAAATATGTATGCCGTAAAACAAAAAGAAAATAACCGACATTGTTTATTTACAGTTGGAAAAAGTCGTGGGATACGAACAGCGGAGGCGCATCCGGTCACAGATTCGAGTAGCAAAGAAGAAGATCGAAACTGAAGAAATCACTAAATTGACGAGATCAAAACAAACAACGACCAACATGTCTAAGACAAAATCACCGGAGCGTCTTCAACAAAGATCTCCGGACCGTCTGTTAAAGATCCAGAAACCTCACTCTCCCGAGCGACAACCTAAAGCCACTCCTGATGCAACCTCTGCACCCGATCCTCTTACAAAATCGCATCTAACAAACCCAGAACCGAAAGAGCTCCCCAAAACAAAAGCAGCGAGACCTTTCGACAAAAGTCCCGAAAGGCACAGCAAAGCGACTCCCGGTTCTGGCCTTCGGACTAGTCCGGAAAAGAAGGTACGACCCGTTTCACCCACTAAGACAACGACGCCGAAACCTAAAGAGAGCCGCTTTAGCGAGTACGCTTCAGCTTATATGAAGAAAGTAGGGCTCAATGAAGGCGACAAGCTAAAACGTGTCGCGGTCAAAACGAAGAAGCCGCCTGTCGTGGACGAAGCCAGGACCAAAAAGGTTGAAGCCAACCGCATCGTAGAAACTCACCGCATCAAAACGTTTACTGATCGATATTCCTCGAAAGATATCATCGAAGTGGTCCAAATCAACGACCAGAGGACGCCATCGCCCGACCGAAGTCGCGACGGCACCGACGGAGGTGAAACATCTCAACCGCTCCGGCGGCAAAGTCCCGAAAGAACACCGGTTTCCGATCGCAAACCCAGTCCGGAGAGACGAAGCGAGCGTCAAAGCGATTCCCAACGCTCTCCGAGTCCCGGAGTAAAGAAAGTCTTAAAAAAAGAGACGACAATAAAGACAGCGTTCGACATAGAGAAGAAAATACCGCATAAACCGGCGCAAGATGAGAAACCATCGTGGGTGACCAACAGGCAGCTGAAGAAGGTCACGTCCGAGTCTCGCACGTTCAGCAGCAAGAAGATAGAGGCGGAGAAGCCAAAGTACCGGACGAGCAGCCCCTCTAAGGCGATCACCGAGCCAATAGACGTGATCACTTCCAGTTACGGGCCGGGACCGCTCGACGCCGACGGTAGACCTCTTTTCGGCATCCGGGCTTTGAGGAATGGCGCTTCCAACTATCAAGGTGGGTGTCTAATTATGTCCAATAAATACTCGAAGACACGATTCAACGATAGAATTCTCAGCTTAATGTTAGCAATTTTGAGACGTAATGTATGATGTGTTATTATACCATTGCCTATTCACAGTCCCAGTCTTTCGACCTCATTTGGTTGTTTCATTCATTTATCATAGAAGACAATCGTATTTTTAAAGTCTCTATAACTTTGCAGTCTTATTGACTCGAACAACTAAAACGACGACAAATATCTACAAAATAATAATTTTGAACCAAAGAGTGTGCACGGTTTCAAATGATGTGTGTTATTTAAGACTATCTGAAGATAATCTCCCCGTGACCACGGCTGCTGCAAAGCATTCGAAACGTCGGGCCGAAGTTAAAAATCATTTTCTAATAAGTTTAACTATTACATCGCGTTTTAAACCGTTAAAGTGTTTAAAACAAATATCTGAAGATATTGAAAAATCTTTGAGGCTTGATTCCTTCATAGTGCGAGCGTATATATGTTATAAACACTTTTAAACAAATTAATATTTTGTCAAAAAAGCCTTCATTACTATTCACCAACCTTTAGTTGTAGCAATTGTAACAGCGTACGCATGACCAAAGTGAATTCCACTAAAACAAACACACCTGTTTACAATGTGTAAACAGTGACAAACACCGCCTTTACTCATTACAATGACCGGACAGGACATTCTTAGTGCATTCGACATTTAGTGGCGCAAAAAGCAATGTTTACTAATACCGTTGACAATTTGTTACTCTAGTGAAAGGCACCGTCGTTCGTCAAGATTTTCATTCGCGAAACGGAGGCGAGCCGGAAGGCACCGTGTCCGTGACCGCATACTCCACGGAGCCAGAAGACTTGGAAAAACTGCTACAGAGTCAGGGCGAGAAGCCGTCGCGTCTGCACGGTCTGGCTGCCATCACCACGACGAAGAAGTTCGGCGGAGACTCGGGGACCACTTTGTCTGAGATTTCTACTGTGAGTAAAAAATATTTTAATCAATTATTACTTTGATAATATTATTTTACCTTATATTTAATACACCGCCACTTTTTTATGTCTGTCGATCGATAGAGAGAGGAGCGAGCCGCATTGGACCGGTTCACGCATAGCGACAGACGCGTCTCTGAGAGTAAAGTAGAAAGACACACAGATTCCTTCGACGGAGAGAAGAACGGAATCGAGAGGACGACATTCACAGGCACGTACAGGAGGGAGAAGCCGAAGCAACGGGACGAGACGAGGTCGGATAGTGCCAAGAGAGACGTGAGGAGTCACAAGGAGACACGGACAGACAGAATGCAAAAGACCGAGCGACGCGTGGAAGACAGGAAGACGGTGCGACAGAGCTCTGTGAAATCGCTCACCGAGAAGTTCATTAAAAACGCAAGTAAGTCTTTCGTGTCGGATATTGGAGGCAAAGTGGATCGTGCGTGTGCCCAAGTGAAAAGCAGAGGCAAAAATAATGAAAAAGATATGACTCGTTGAACTGAATTTTACCCTTAGCTTAGGTTTAAGACTCAAGTGGCCTTATCAATTTCATTCAAGAAATGTTGAATTTTTCAGTCTCAACTCTTAAGCCTTCTTAGTAAAAAGGCCGTGTATTTTCTATTAAAATTGAAAGTACATTTACTTCTAAAAATAACGTAAAAAAGAAATAAACAGATTTCCAAGCGAAAAGTAAAATTTTTCGTTTCGCACTATTCGGCCTACTCGACTCACATTGATCATTTTAAAAGTAAAAGTGCGACCGAATAGCACTGTAACGATGACGGTGCAAACCTCTCCGACATCTTTTAGTTATTACAAACACTTTCGATTCTATTTCAATGCTAATTCTTAAACGCTAAGTCGTCTATCTCACCGCGCCTCGACGGCAAAGACTAAAGTTTTATTGCACAATAAAAGAGAGCCGCACGAGTAAGTTAACCTCTATTTCTGACTTCCAGATGAGACTTCGAAGACGGAACGCGCCGTCTACCCGAAGGCCGGTCTTATCCTTCGAACTGCCGGAATGAAGGACAGCGTCTCCAGTGACTCCTCGGCTCACGGTGGTACACATAGTTTGCTTTTAATGAATACTTATATATAAGAAAAACTGCCGGCATGTGTGACAAATAAAATGCATAATACGTGAACCCTTAGTTGTGTACATAATATAGTTTAGCAAATGTGAGCCCCGCGTCTGTAAACAATACCTAGTAGAGTATGAGTAAGATGGAACGCCGACTTTGGACTTTAATATTTCACTTTACAATTCTCATACTACCTTAAAAAACTATTAAGTCTTCAGTTTACGGGCTAGACGGTGTAAAAGGTAGCAATACGTGGCTAAGAATCGACGGATCGTGGGTCGATTGTCACTGGGCCCAACATTTTCTAATCGATTTATAATTCTTTGAAACCTGTCGTCTTCGTCTGGATAATAAATGGGCGGTAGGAATATCGAAATCTCCGTCCACAGATGAAATGTTGTGAAATTTAATCGCGTTTCGGCTTCAGTCTGTGGATTTCCGAATATCCAAAGCCAAGTAGGTCGACGGCGTATCTTGTGGTATTCCACCTACGATAAAAGAATCTTTAAAAAAAGCAGCTAAGGACGAAAGGATCACCACGCCTACCAAAAATCACTAGCAAATTATAAGTCGTGTGGATTTGATTCGTATTAAACGTAAGGACTTTTCAGAGTATCGATACCCAATGCTAGTGTACTTCGATTGATTCCTGAAAACGCGTAATAATTTATTTCGGTCGGGCAGAGCACAGAATGAAATTACTAAAATTAATATGTAGTGTAAACGACATCTTACTCGGGACCTTTCGCACAACACCTTTAGGAAGTTTTTCTATTATCTTAAGTTCAATAATTATTTTAGGTTTAGCTCGCACAGACAGCGAGCACAGCCTGAACTCCGTGGAAGACGCAGTGACGACGACCAACACGACCACGGAGAGAGTCGGCGACGCGGTCCGGACCACGGTGACCACCACGAAGAGCGGCAGCCGGATGCAGGAGCGGTCCTTCCTCGACAGCTCCACTAAGGTCACCGGCGTCCAGGACATCCTCACCAGGATGAAGAACGCCGATATTGGTGAGAATTTAGTAGCTATAGTATCGTTATTATTGCGTTTTAATGAAATTGATTTTTATCGCGAACGTACATGACTAGCTGGGCATCGAAATTTGTTTTTGCGAGCCTTTATCAACTATAGCTGTTACCCACGACCGCGTCCCGTCGTTCTTACAAGTTAATCTTAAAGTTTTCGCAGTGGCGTAGCCGTACGAAAACCTACAAAGATTTTTCAACATTTTCCACTGTCTTTTTTTTCATTCTATTGGTCGCAGCATGATGTTTTATAGCTTTCCTCATAAATTCTCCAACCAACACAAAAAACTTTTCCATTTAAATCAGTAGATATTCATTTAAACAGCAGTTCCTGATATTAGCGTGTTTAAACAAATAAACTCTTCGGCTTTATTTATTAGTATAGATTGTAACTTGTGCGTTGTGAGCAGTGATCGAGGAAGGCGACAGCAACGAAGACACCGAGGCGCGGGCCCTGCTCAACAAGTTTCTGGGCGCCACCGTGCTCATGGCCGGGATGCAGAACTACGTCACCGAGAAGCCGACGGGCCACTGTGTGCTCAGACAGGTGCGTATGAGCTCCGACTCTTTATATTTACAGAGTACGCGACAAATGCATTTAACAATGATTGGCAAATTAAAAACCTAATAAATCAGAATTATGTAGGTAATAAGCAAGCACAACAGAATAATTACTTAAGTAATTGTACAAAAAAATTGAGACTAGGTATTTTGGCTGTGTTCGAAGCTTGTGAGATGAATAAAATTGCAATTTTGCTGAGGCTGACAACGGGCGAGTTTGAAGAGTGTTATAGCACTTCTTGGAAGTCTAACTGAAGGCCGAATTTTGAAGGCTTGTGAAAGAGCAGGATGGCCGATGTCACGAATGCGACGAGCCCAACCTACCCGACTCCGCGTCGTAAATATCGACTGCACTAAATAAAAAGTCATTGCACTTGGCTTCTCTCCCGTTTCTGACTACGCGCAGAGACGCGTTCCTATCGCCCGCCGAGGATTGCCACTTTTCTTCCGAAGAGTCGATGATCCAAATAATGATCTATGTTTACATATTTGTATGCGTTCGATTACGAAATTACACTATCGTTATTATAATTAAATTTTTTCTTCTACCTTCGATTTTGAGCGAAAAAACTGCCGATAGGGATTATTCGCCTTCTAGAAAACCAGGCATGAAGGCTTAGAGTCAAATTATTGTCGATTAAGTTCAATACAAATAAAGGCATTAAGTTTGTGGGAAATTCCGTGTATGCCTTTAGTGCATCCGTTGGCTCTCGGCCAGGCCCACATGTGGTCGTTCCTCCCGACTCCGGCCCACCGGTGCCAACTTCGTAAATCACGCCAGACGGTGCTTCTCGCCTTATATGGTAAGTAAAAGGGTTGAAATCCGTAACACGCAAAACACATATAACCTTCGTACTTTCCTAATAATACATTCACCGCGTTGTAAGTAACGTCCAGTAAACAAAAGCTTCGCGACGCCGCGTTGTCCCCGCGTCCAATTACACGTGCACTGACTAATCACGACGGCGACGATCCCTCGACATTGGACTTTTTCGACAACTCTATTCAAACAAAAGGGCCCCGAAACCGCGACCGCCGATTTTTGTTTGTAGTCGCGTCTACAAATTCGTTACCATAGAATTTAAAGTTGTGCTCAGATCTTGGACAAATCTGTACGCGTAAACTATAGACAGTATTCAAATCTGTACTGTAATGATATACTGATGATTCTGACGGTCGGACGGTTCTAAATAAAATTTAATGAATATACACGATTAAAATTTAAAAGTTTATTGTTCTATTTTCCTTCTGGAGTTATGCGTTATAAAAACGTCTCGTTTCGTATTGTCGCAGAGCGACATTCATTCCTTCTATCTTTTTGTCCGAGAAGTTTGGGCCACAAAAGCCTTCAGATGTTAAGAATGTTGCGTGTATTTCCCGGAATCATTCAAGAGTGTTTCATCTGTGCATATCTTTCTTGTATTAAGTCAGTGTTGTATTAACCCACCTATGATTGCTGCAAACTCCTGTTAGAATATAAATAGCTCATGAATAAACAAACTACGCTACGATAATTACAGTTTTTGTACCATAAAACGTTTCTGCGTACGCACAACACGCATCTCTCGCGCTTCGTGATTTCCGTTTGACCCACTTGGAGGATAATGAGCACCTCGTTTCAGGTGTGTCGGTCGATTGTGCCTCCGTCGACACCAGTGGCCTCGCCCTGTTCCGCTAGTTGCAACAGACCGACGTGCTTTCTGGCGTCTGAAAACGCAGCCTCTCCTCACCTGCAGCCATTTACTTTTCTTTCTTTTGACGACGTTATTCTCGACGACATACTTCAGAATAAAAGCGTCGGCAGCTTTCAGCATCATAGCCGTGATCTTGTACGTATCTGCGCAAAAGATACATTTTGTGGAAGACGAAGAAGTATGGACTCGTTCCTTAATGTTCACTGACAAGTATTATAATTACCCTAAACCAAAATTGAAAAGCTAACAAAGGCACGGCGCAGCCGCGTTGCCGTTTTAAGACACGCGGGAAACGAGAAAATCTTCGGCAAAAATAACATCCATCTTCCCGTCCGAATCCCAACGAGCGCAACGCGACCGTCCGTCGGGCCGAAAGCGACTTTATCCACCTTACATTCGTCGAGTTTTCGCGTGAAAATCGCGTGACAACGTGAACGCACTATATTTGGTTCGGTGACGTCAGATGCGCTACTCTCGCAGTCTCCCTTAAATCGCCGCCCGCGCAGCGCGTTACTTGACGTGACGTTAATCGATTACAATAATCATTAGTAAACTGGTCAGCTAAAAATATTCAAGCGTGCAGTGATTAATTATTAAGAGGATTGATTTAAAGGATCTCTTTCGAGAAAGATTAGATAAGGTAAGATTTGTATCAAAAGGAATTACGTATAAATTAGTATTACCGGTTCCTATATCGCATCTCATAGATTTTTTTACTTTTTATATATGTATATATTCAAATAACGGTAGAGAGACAGATAAGATGTAAAAAAAGTTCCACTTTTTGTATTATACCTTGGAGTTCTTTGAAATATCTAGGACCGTGAGATTTAATTACTAATATTCTGATGACTCCCCTTGTAAAAACCGAAAGAAAGGCTTTAAAAGGCTTTTTATGCTTCTTTAAGTGTACTCTATACAATTATGCTGAAATTGGCAGCCAGCTAACGGAGCGCAATTTTATGCTTCGCCTGTCATAGACATAGTTTTTACTGGAGTTGTTATTTTCAACTCGGACAGCGGTACTTCTCGATACAGTTTGGAAGAAAAAGGCATACGTTTCGTAAAAAATCGTATCAAATAATTGGGAATTAGTTAAGTACGCCTTTGCAGATGACACAATTTGACGATTGTTTATCCTCGAACGTTTAATTTTCACCGCGAGACGAACATTTTTCTGTGATGGTCAAATCGAAGTTCTCGTCTTTCGTTATAGGCCCTGTAATAAGTATTCATTACATTTAAAATACATCTACTTTCGGAGTACAGAATACACACGAAACTAAACGAGAACTGTGAATGTAAGATTGTCGTTTCAATGTGCGACTACGGTGAGCCATCGCGTCCTTTGGTCAAACACAAAGCCTTCAAAACTATCCTCATTTTGTGCCCAGTGTCACTCGAATAAACCGAGATAAGAGCGATCCAGTTTTTCAACAGTTTATTTCTCGTTTTCGACAATCTTAATACTTGCATTTCGGTAGTACCTATTCCCGTTATGTTCGTTGCACGGCTGCTCTCGAAGCCACCGATACCTGATAAGTATCCTATCCTGGTCTGCTCGATGCTATATTGAACGCGATATGTATCCTTTTTAGAGCTTCTCTCGTGTACGTAGCCTATGATAAAATATTCTGAGTTAAACCCGCTCAAAACGGCTAAAAGTCTTTTCAACAATAATAATAATCAATTAATAGGCTTCGCCGAAAAGGCAACGACACCTAGCGCGCTAATTTAACGTTAAAATAATTGTATTCGGTGCGCCAACCGACTGCACTTGCCATTATACCTACTCTGGTACTGTGCACCAACTGTTTTCCCGCTTTCTTTTAAGCAAAAACCGACCGCTACCGGCTTCGAGTACATGTTGCTACGTTTATTTGTCTCTCGTTCCTATCACTCAATTATACCATACCAATGTTATTTTTGATTTACAAACTTTTTCCACTCGGAAGCTCATTTTCGGGTAATGGCATTAAGAAACCGAGGGTACTCGAGAATATTATCTAATTTAGGTAAAATGACGATAAAAAGTGCATTTTTGCGATACGGTTTGTGCTCCGTTGAAAAAGGAAAGGTTGAACCGTGGAGCCGAGATGATCCCGGGCGTTCACTCGATCTAATAATACGGGATCGATCTCAGTATAGCTAAGTGGGTCATTCGATGGTATCTGCGCTGTGTGCTATACCGAAAGGCACCATCTATTACTGTTCTTTGATTCACTTATTAATTATTCCCACAATAAAGCAAAGTTCTAAAAGTTGACATCCAATAAAATTCAATTAATTTTGCGAAGTAACCTAGTTAAATAAGAAGAAGATACGCATTTATTCGAAATCCAATCAGTCTGTCGGCTATTTATTGGAAAAGTAAGGGAAAATGAAGTTTCCCTCATTATAAACAGTGATGGCGATAGTAAATATAGTTTGGGGCGCTGCCAAGCGACGCGTGCGCAGCTAACGACCCCTCCGGACGGAAATTCAACGCCCCGTTCGGTCCTCGCATTTAAGCATTCGCCTTTTGGCGGTTCGGGTTGTCTTTAACAATAGTTTTATTTAATTTGTTCGGGCCTATTTTATCCTTTTCAAAGTATACCGCCAAATATAAAGTATATTTGGCGGTATACTAACACACTTCACAATAAAAGACTTTCTAGCACTGACTTCGTTATTACGAAAACGAAGGACAAGAGTAGGCAAAATATTAAACATTTGACTCCGAGATTTCTCCACATTCTGTCAGCATCTTAGGCATTGTACATCGCGCTCTATCCGCTACGCGTTACTAACAAAACAAACAAACTTTCTCTTTACAAAATATGTACATATTTGTTTCAACCGCTTTAACAACTTTTATCTAGGTGATCTGCACAATCTTTTGGCTTTTTGCCTGTTAGTCTAGTATTTATTCGACCGAATCGAAAATGGCGTGTTGAACTCGCTTCACTACTCCATTTTATTGTACTTATATTGTAAAGCTGAAGTTTCTTTGTTTGAACGCGCCAATCTCTGCAACCGTCACTGTAACTGCCTTTTTAAGGTAACCGAATGTCGACGAAACACTTCTTATGCCAAAAGCACCTTTGCCAGGCCAACTAGTTTCGTATAATGTTCGTCCCTCAATTCCCCCTATCCTTCTTAAAATACTACTGAAAATAGCCGAAATTTCAAGAAACAATGTTCGTAGTTACGATTTATTCTACGTATTGAGTCTGCCATCATTTTCAGCACGGCAATATAAATAATTAGACCAATATTATTTTAGTGGTGCGTATTTATCCCAATGTATTATCAAGCAAGTCGTATATTGACTGTGCAGAGCAGAGTTGCTCTGAGAATTGTCGGCGATATTGTATCCGCTTTAATGCAGTGGTCGACGGAAGAGCATCGTCCGTTTGCGGTGACCTGCCAAATATTTGCCCCACTGATCTTCTCGATGTAAACCCGAGATAGGATCGCGGGCCAGCCGCCGGTGCGTCCCGAAATGTTCTTCTAGAATCTAGATAATACTCCCACTAAAGATTTAATACTAAAATAGCTGGTTTCCGAGTTCGTGTTTATTATTATAACGTAAGTAAACAGACGTCATTATTAAAGTCATAAAGGCAATGTTCAAATTAAAACGCTCGACGGCTGAAAACATTCGAGCGATTCGATTCGGTCCGGCGCAACACAGTTGTAAAACTAACCCAATAACCTTCCACACATTACGAAACGAGAAAAACAAACAGATACGAAAATAACAGCTAAATTATTAAGCTTTTACAACTCTCGTCGTGGCCGCCCGAGACGTGGCTCCGATAGCCACGCCCACTTGCGCCTACGCTGCTGAAGTTCAGCTTACACTCGCAGTCTTGACACTCTATACTAATATATATATAAAGCTGAAGAATTTTGTTTGTTTGAACGCCCTAATCTCAGGAACTACGGGTTCAAATTGAAAAAATATTTTTGGGTTGGTTAGAACATTTAACGAGGACACATAACATAGCGAAAAGTGAACAAAACGGGGGAACTTTTTCATCTCTGTGGGTTTCAGTTGCGTACGCTGTGAAAACTGTTCAATATAACTCAAAAATGTTTATAAAAGAATTATTCCTCTTTAATCTTAAAAAAAGTCCGCCACGCTAGATGTCTATCTTTTAAGATTAGCTTGCAAGAACGACGGGAAGGGACGCGATCTTCGTCGTGGCTAACAGCTTAAGTTTATAAAGCTGACGGGGTTTGCAAAACCTAAATTTGATGCCAAAACAACGATTCTCGCGGACGAAGTCGCTGGCACAGCTAGTGCTATATAATTGTAGTCAAAATACTTTATACCTAAGTAGCTTAGAGTTTTTATTGCAGGGCATTAAAGAAAGGCGAAGTATCGTTTAAATAGCACTATTTGGACCAATTCTAATTTAATTCTTGTAATGAACTCTGGTTTTTCATTAATTATAAATTATAGATGTTTAATTTAAAAATCGAAAATAAATTGAACAAAATTTCGACACGGGCAGGACTCGAACCGCCGTCGTCAGCGTTCCGTGCTGTTGCTCTACCGAGACATTGTTAATTATAGCTGTTATTCACGACGTCATCTGCGTTTGTCGTTCTTGCGAGTTAATATTAAAAGATAATACTAAATTGGCCTATACACGTGTCGTGCATATTTTTTACGCACGTAACGGAAACCCTCAAAGATTCATAATTTTACCCATTTTTTTACATTTCCTACTGTTTCTTCGCTCCTATTGGTCGATATCACAGTATATCGTGTGATGCCGAAAGGCTTCTTCGATTTTATTAATATTTTTTGTATTGTTCTCACCGATACAAAAATATTTTTTCAATTCGAACCAGTCCTGCCTGAGATCAGCGCGTTCAAACGAGCAAGTTCTTCACTTTATAATATTAGTATAGATGCGGCTAAATTATTAAATAATTTTAAATACCAATTTTCTATTTCGGAAAGATCCTCGAACTCAAGATCAAACGAGCGAATGTCAACTCGTTAAAAGCTCGTTATATTTCCCAAGGAAATTCAAACACGTTGAAATGGACGCTTTTAGCACAAAAGTGACCTTCGTTCGTGTTGAGGCGCCTCATTGAGAAGATTCTCTCAAAAATGACAATTATTCCCTGCTCACGATGTTATCAGCAGCGAATACCTAAGTATCGCCGATTCCACGTATTTGTTTCGATAGCGATTCGGTTACTACTGTCCATTTCAGATGTGTTTTTTTTAATTCTCCAGGAAACAATTAAAAGCCAAAGCAGCGGTGGAAAAGTGACCAGCAGCAAACTAGTCCAGGAGATAGACATCGAGCAGTGCTGGGACGAGAGAGTATTAAGGAAACTCGTGAGTTCTTTTTTATATGTAGAGGCTTTTTGACAATGCGAAAAGTAGAGCTTCAAGTATTTTCATATAAGTGTAATAGTTTAAACACTATTACGGTCACTGTTTGTTGTCGGTGTGTCCTAGTGTTAAAGCGAGGAATTTTATTGCTTTGCAATTTAATATAAACCCGACTTCTGTAAAAGGGAGACCTTCCCCGAACCGACGATTTCATTTGTTTATCTCCTTTATAGGCAGGGTATATCGTCTACCACCAATGTAAAGACAAATTATAAAACATGAATTCTCTATATTCATAGAACCTTGCTTAATTTTGAATGGTGTGACTGTGTAGGTAGACTTATTGTTAGGCAAGCGTTTCTGTTTTGGTATATTTTTGAGAGCATTCGACAATGTACAAACAATGTACTGTTTCTCATTTAATCATCATCATCAATGACAGATTAGTCGCTTCCGCCATCGCGATCTATCCCGCGTCTGATTCGAATAGTGGACGCCCAAGATTTCCAGGTCCTTAGCAACTCCACCCACGAGCGGAGCCTCGGTCTCCATTCTGTGTACATGTCCCGGCCACTAGATTCTATTGCTTTTAATGAATTGGACGATATTGGCGTCGCCAACAATGTTGTCCAATCTCTCTCCATTAATATAATACAGACATACTAGTATAATAGTTGTTCAAGCTGTAAGTCTTGTTCTCTTTTGGGTCTAAACATCGATTAACAATGTCTCTGCCAAAGGGGCAAATGCAGAAAGGGAGACACTAGAATAACACATTATTTAAATGCAATCTAGTGAGGAATCAAATTCAGAAGACAAAACTTTATCTTTTTAAGTAATTTTCTGACTGAATTGTATTGATATTAGCTCACGTGTCAATTTTGAATAATAAACTCATAATTAAGGTAATTATGTCGGAATCTTGAAGCGCAATGCTTATCTAAATCATAAGGCAAAGTTACTTTTTAAACTAATATTAAGGGAAATTGCAAGCGTTTTGTATGTTTTGAACAAATATTTCAATTTACTTATAACAAAATGGCCTTCACAGCGATAAGCAAACATTTGTTGTATTCGATCCCTCCGAGAAAGTTGCACTTAGGCGTACTCTGTGAGATTTTTGGAACACTCACAAATAGCTTGTATTTATATGTATATAATGTACAAATGTATATTCTTACCATAGAGGAGAGCTGACAATTACGGGGTAGAATACCATATGCGCATGGCATTTTTGGTAAACAAACACGACTTTCATGAAATCGTTTTCTTATAAAGTTTACATTGATTCACTCTAAAAACACTTTAAGACACTGGATTATAATATATTAAACTAAAGAACTACCTCAAATTGACTCAGCATAGATCACAATTTCATGCTATAATTAATATAAATCCTGAAAATGTGTTCACGAAAATGCACAGATTAAAATTTCTTAAGTTTTACATTTACATAAGCACGGGACGTAAGAAAGGTCAACGACAATAGAAGCGATAAGTCGAACTTGCGATCGCGATTATTTTCGCGCATTGAATCGTTACTTGAATTAAAAACAAACTAAAAGTAAGTTGCGTCACTATTACCACTTGAATATTCCCAGGAGACCTGGATAATAAACTGCAGGTCGTCGGTTGCTGCATCCGTAACACCATCTAATTGCATTATTTCATCTTCTTGTATCACATGGTTTATTGTTTTGCCAAGTTTCCGCGTCTATTCGTTCCATGCCTTCTTTGAATAATTCTTTAATTTCAGCAATTTTAATATAGTTTTCTTATGTCTCTCAACATAAGACTTCAGATTGTCCTTAATAAAGTAGGGCGGAAGACGTAGGACTAAGGTTTTCTTCTTCGGCCATTTGATCTATATTTTTTTATTATAATCGCTTCGCGTATATTTTGTCAATTTTACAACTATACGTATATATAACTATAAATTATATATATGATAGTATTACTAAGTTAGTTTTGTTGAAATCTATTCCATTCCATGCTTTAACAACATAAATTCCATGTTTTACAAACTTTCGTGTTTTTAATAATTAATAGGACTTTAGGGTTAATATGGCCAAAATAAAAAACTATATGCTTTTTTAATATAATATAATCGATTATTATTTTTCCCTGCGTCATCAAGTACACTATAAAAGTTCTCTCTGATTTGAAATCGGCCATATTTGTTGTGATTTTTTGCCAAATATATAACTGACTGTAGACCTAGATCCTATGATCGACATACGCCCATATAGCCGCGTGACGTCACTGACCCTATAGCCGCACAATTGCGTTTAGGCGCGCAATGTATGTGTGGAAATATTAATTTGATATTTTCCAGAAAATATGCACCAAACTTCTCTCATAACATTTCAATAAGCTCATTAACATTTATGGTTCGTAGATTTCGTTTTATTATCCATATTAGTCACCGCTCGATTGCACTTTTCAGCTCGACGAGTGTACCGACTACGAGCTACGGAGACGCCTACGCGCGCGAATCCGAGCCCTCATGGCGGAACAAGAAGGCGAGTATCGTGCGGCTTCTTCTCCCCGTGAATGTAGCGTATTGTGACTTAAAGTTTTATTGCAGCGTGCGCGAGCGCGGTGACGGAGGCGCTAGCCGCCGCGGGCGAGACAACGGCCGACGCGGAAGAACAGCATCAGTCCGGCGAACGCGGTGAGTCCCTCCTCCTGCCTCTGCTCCAGGGCCTGCTCCGAGGCGGCGGAGAGAAGCTGCTGGCCGGCCTGGGCACCGCCTCCCACGGCGTCGTCGCGGACGTGCGCCGCTCCCTGCAGCGGCTGAGGCTCGCGCTGGCCCCGCCCGCCGACCACCCTCAAGCGAGGGCGCTGCTCGCCCTCGCCGACAGACTCGAAGACGCCCTAGACGCGGCGGACAGACTCGACGGATGCAAACGCAAGACGAGGCGCCGCAGCCGCACGGCGAGGCACACGGTCGGCGTCACGCGAGAAGAACTGGAAGAGGCGAGGCGCACTGTTGACAGGGACGCCTTGCTCGAACCCGTCGATGCCGATGTCACGGCGACGACAGTCGGTTCCGAGACACCGGAGCGAACGCAGAGCTGCGACTACTATGACCCAGTCGAAACCAGACGGAAACCGGCGCCTATCGCTCATAGTGCCAGCTACGAAACCGCCCCGATAGTTAATAGGGACGCTCGCGTCGTCGAGAGACGGGCCCCGGCCCCGCGAAGACCAGACTTCTTTAGACACTCGATGGCAGATGGCCTCAAACCGGAGCCTTCTAGGAACACAGCCGAGCGTTTGCGATCGGACTCTAAGAGTGGCATAGCCGCAATAGCTAATAAATTTGATATCAAAATTGAACAAGAAAAGCCGGTCGCCGCTAAGCGGGTACCGACAAACGGGCCCCGGATGCAGGCGAAACCCGCCGAGGAGCCGAAACGTTCCTCTTATCGTCCTCCGCCCCCGACCTATAACTTCGCGGCGCCGCCGGCGGACGACGCGTCTAAGTCGCCAGATAGACCGAACGGCGTCAGCAAACGCCTGCGCATGAAGCGAGCTAACACTATAGATATTGGTCGATCTTTTGGCGCATATCAATTCGATAGGGACACAGACGAGGAAGCGAACGTTCCCCGCGCCCCGGCGGTGCCCGCGTTCCGGCCGCAGACAGAGAACGACAAGAAGTTCCTAGCCTTTATGAAGAAGAACGAGGAACAAGATCGAAATACTGGATCTGTCCAGGCCAATTGGAGCAACCGTTTCGGAAATATTAAAAACGCCTTCGAAAACCGCGAAAGAGAAGAGAACGACAGATCTTCGAGCGCCTCCTCCGCCAAACGCTTTTGGCAAAGCGCAGACTCCTCGCAGGTGTCTGTCACGCGACCGAGACGGTTCCCGAACGAGACGGTCCCGGACGTGGTGAGACCGCCATGGGCGTCCCAACGTCGAGATTCACTGAAGACCCACGTCCCGCCTATAGCGAAGCAAGTACCACAACAGACAGTTTCACCCCCCGTATTGCTATCGCCAATGAAACCCGCTAATATAAAACCCTTCGTGGCTAAACCAATACCCGTCAATCAATTCTCTCACGCCCCGATGTCAGCGTTTAAGCCTCCACAGAAAATATTGTCCCCCACCGGCGCACCGCCTATCGTTTGGAGTCCACCGTCCTCCGGTATTCCGGTATCCCCGAGCGTCGATCCCCCGAAACCTTCCGTGCCATCTACCCGAATCCCTCTGCCTCCCGGCGATCCGGTCAAATTAGTTCCCGAAGAGAGGAACCGAACGATGATCGACAGAGTGCCTTTCGAGCGCAACAAATTTAACCACTCACCGGCACCGGCCTGCGAGTACCACCCCCCCACGCCCCCGACTCACGCGCGAAGCGACCACAACTTTCCGATTCAACCTATCCCGAGCCAAAACAACCTCGCGGCCCCAGAGTTGGTCAAAAAGATATACGGCACAAACGGCTTCGTCGACGGTCACGACGACGCTCCCAAGATTGACGCGCGACAACTCCAGATAGAATTTTACGAAAGACAAATCAGAGAGAAATGTCGAAGGGATGCCCCGACCGAACGCCGCGTAAACCCGGTGCATAAACCTCCCGCGCCCCTCGGTCCCCAGGGAGCTCCCCCGTATACGATAGTCGACTACACGCCTCCTCTCTCAACCTCCACCTTCGTGCCGCTTCAGCAGACTCCCGATATAGAAAAAGCGAGGGCGCACAAAGTCGATTATTTGCCGGACGTCGTCATCAACGACAACGGCAACTCTACGGACCTCACAAGTTCTCGGAGCTCCCTGAACGATCCCGTCAGCCCGACGAAGCCGAAACCCCGGCGGATCGCCGCGTCCGACCGCGACGGAAGCCTGAACGGAGACGACGCGGCCACGGAACACGGCAGCGTATTGACCAAGGTTATGAGAGGCCCGGTCCGCGGCAATGCAACGATCACCGCCGGCGTGAGGACGCGCGGTGCGGCGGACAGCTTACGCGGAGTGCTCGACAAACTCTCGTCACCGAAACGTGAAGTCATTGCACAAATAGAGAAAAAGAAACGGGAAAACGCCCGGAACCAGATGCATCTGGCCCCGCCTTCCGAGCTGTCCCCTTCGTATGGCTTCGAAAGGCACGGCTCGAGTGGTTCCCGGAGCCCCGGTCTCGCCGCGTCGCGCGAATCCGTTTTCTCGAGTGAGTCTCCCGCGAGTCGTGGGTCCAGCCCCGGCTCGGCTATCGCGCGATCCGGCTCCTGGCACAGACTGGCGGAGTGCGGCCCGAAAGCGATGCCTCCTAGAAAGGTAGTCGCGCGAACGAAATCTATGCATCTGCTAGCCGCGCCCAAGCTGTACGAGGGGGGCATATCGCAGGACGAGGTACTGGAGAAGAGGAGAACAGTCGAAGCGTACTTCTCCGGGCAGACGTCACCGAACCGAGCGCAGCAGACGAGCCAACCGCGGTCCCGAGCGCAGACGCAGTTCGCATTGGGACGCAGCCGAACGATGCCCAGCGTGAGCCAAATGCAATTCCTGGATGAGAGCAACGCGGACGACGCGTTCGAGGACCTCGTGTCGGGGATGGCGTAGCGCGCGCATTCCACAAAAAAGCAGCGAGACGCGCGTGAGTCGTGTGTGCGTGCGCCTGTGCTTGTGACGCGTCCGCATGCGCCGAGACGTACTCCCACCCCCTCACCTCCTTCCGCTCCGCGCTCGAAACCCTCTGTACATGTCGTCAGTGTGACCCGTAACGATTTCATTTCACAGACCTCTCGTAACAGTGTTTCACTAATAGCTTTAAGTCTTTGTTATGTCTTGCTACGTTTTCTTCGAATTTAGTCTTTTCACTCGCACTGATGATTTTTGCTTTTCCTTTGCAGAAGAAGAAGAGGTGACCACTATCACGAGCGTCAGGAGGAACTCGTCCGAACAAACCGTCAGCAGTACGACCGTCACGAACACTAAAGGTTCTAAACTATATCTCGTTTTGCCAATCCTGATCGACTCCAACGTCGAGGCATGAACTAACGGTACCACCTTTCACATTTCAGTTTTAGAGAGTGTGACACGACCGGCTCCCAAACCTGTCTCTCCGTTCGCCAAGTTCCGCCAGCTGGAGAAACAGAACTCTGTCAATTCCCCAAAGTGAGTTCCCCTTTTCGTTCGCTGCCCGACTACGCCTCGATTCGAACACAAATATATCTTATATTGATTTAGTATATCAGAAGTCATCTAGATAATTTATTATTATGTCATATTCACTCAATATAATTACATATTGTACAGTAGTGGCTTATATTTATTTATTCACGTTTGGGAATACAATCCGAGTCTAGTCGCTCGTGCCGCGGAAGCAGCGTTCGTCGCCTCGATGTCTTCTAGGTTAGATTGCAGTCGTGATTAACACGAGCCACCTGCCGCCGCGCGCCGCGACCTCCACTAATCGCGCCTCCCCACCGTTGTAGCTCGCCCAAGACGCCGCAGAGCCCGGGCTCTCCGTCGCAGCCTTACTTCAAGTTCACGGACCCGGCGCTGCAGCTCAGCGCGGTCACTATTAAAGACCGCTTGCTGCATTGGTGTCGCGACAAGACGAGGGACTACGAGGTACGGACCCTCCGCGGGGCGCAGGACGATCGTGCGACACATCCGCGACGGCGACGGGCGGCGGCTTCGTAACTGAACGAACGTTAGGGAACGTGTCGCTACGCGCTCGCGGGTGTGGCGCAGGTCGGCTCGCCCGGGGGGTGGGAGTCGGGGGGTCGTCGGAGCCGCGACGCAAGCGCGCGGACGGGCGCACGCGTTTACACTCATCCTAATCATCCACGCTTGTACATGTTCGCTTTATAATCTTATCTGTACATATGTAAATTGTAATGTATTCGAAACAAATTATATGACTTTGTATCCATAGATTAATGGCACATTCAAACAAAAATCATTCGCCGAAATGAGATAACGAAGCGATCACCACTAACCGACAACTTAACGGAAGCATGATTTAACTCCGCGCCTCAGAGTGTTAGCATGACTGTGCGTTCATTGTAAATGGTCTTCCGCGGAGTCGATGTGCGATCTCAGCGGCGACGCCATTCTAAGCTACGGGTTTCCCTCGGCAGAATGTGAAGCTGGAGAACTTCTCGACGAGCTGGGCGGACGGGCTCGCCTTCTGCGCGCTGCTGCATCATTTCCTACCTGACGCCTTCGACTACTCGCAGCTCACGCCCGACAAGAGACGACACAACTTTACGCTCGCCTTCAAAATTGCCGAGTGAGTAACCCTACACTACTGCGTGCCCGCAAACGGCTTATTAAGACGAATTTTCGTAAATGAAAAGATCAACATTTCTTTAGTTTTATATCATTTACATAAAGGTAGGATGTAAGCAGTCAACGACTATAGAAAGTAGAAGAATAGAAGACATCTTTGGCAACAAGTTCGCTCTATAAAAGGTCATCAATAGTTCTCCTATGGCTTGAAGTCGGCCATATTTGTTGTGGTCATAATAGATTCGACATTCATAATAGACACGTACATATTTGGTTGCAGTGAGAAGGCGGGCATCTACCCGCTGCTGGACGTCGACGACATGGTGGCGATGCGCAAACCCGATTGGAAGTGTGTCTTCACCTACGTCCAGTCCATCTACAGGCGCTTTAAGGACGAACAATAGCCCTCCGCGCTGTCGAGCGACGCGCTTCCATCGCTCGACCTTCGCGATGGAAACTAGCGTCCCTTTGGGGGGAGGGGGGGAGTTGGAGCGTCAGTTGTCAGTAGTCGATGCCACAACATTTGTTTTCTATTGTTATTCGTTCGTTTGTTGAATGTTGCTTCTTCGTCCGCCCAGAAAGCTACTCTCCGAGCGCTGTCTCGCCGTCCTATTTATTCTTAATAAACTCCGATATATGTGATTCTGTATAGCCTAAGACTAACGCGTCGTCCAGCCGCGCGCGGATCTTCTTAACTTATTAGAGCACATAAGAGAGTCGCATCCGTCGCGATTAGCATTAACACTTTATTTATCTGACGTACTTTAAGCCGCTTCGTATAATCTATTCTTCGTATAAGCCTCGATTTAATTTACAATTGTTAATGATAAATAATTTATGTTAAGAATTAAACGATTAACCGTTTTTGGAAGTTTTATTTCGCACGTCTGTGTATACCGACCGATAAAATAAACGTTTGAGACGCCGATACGCGGTCGATGCCGATCGTGGGAATCAGGGTTCCGCCAGATTGAAGGGTGAGCCGACCATGAAAGGGTCGGCCACGTTAGTGCTGCGGTCGGCGGTGGCGTCCGGTCCCACCACGGTCGCCAGGGAACTGCCGCTGGGTGTGGGTGTCGCCTCCGCTAGGGTGACGTGTACGTGCAGAGTACTGTCTCGCCACGTGCGCCACGACACTTGGTGCTCCTGGATCTTCAAGAGCATCCAGGTGGTCAACAGGCCGTTCAGGGCGCCTGGAGAACCAAACTTAGAAGTACAATTTCGAAGTAAAACGTCACTTCAAACAATTTCAATTAACGCGCAGATTTGTATAATAAACTCTAACGTTTGTCCGTACAGGAAACCTTCCGGGAAAGATAATATAAATGCTTTCGCCTGGGCGGGGCAACCCCGCGTAGAGGACTCACCGATGACACCAATAAGTAGCGACGAGAAGAGATTGGCAGCGAGGGCGGCGCCTCCGCCTCGCCGTGCGCCCGCCTGCAGTGCCGCGTCACAAGCGTGCAGAGCTCGGGCGGTTCCCAGCACGCTCGCGGCTCCCAACGCCACTCCGCGCCACGCGTCCGCCGCGAGGGCACGACCCCGTCCGGACCGCGCCCACTCCACGACGGACCGCGCCCACGACCACCTGTTATGGCACTCTTACATCGTGGTGTCTATTAGAAGGTGACGGTTAAGGCTATACCCACTTGTGACTCCTCGTGACCACGTAGTGATGTCTGCAGAGCTCGCAATAGGATGTGGCGGCCTGCAGAAGCCAACGCTCGAGACAGGAGCGGTGCACGGCGGCGATGGTGCCGCGACACGAGCACGGCCTCACCAGACGCTCGGCGGACTCGCCCCCGAAACAGATGCGGCAGATGTTCTCCGAGCGAATGCTGCCCGACACGCTCGGAGACGCCACCTCTTTTGCGCTCGAGTTCTGATGAATTAATATTAATAATCAAATTTGTACTGTGATTAAAATATGTATCTAAAATGTCTACTTCTTACGTCAAATTGCATACCCGAGTCTGCAAAACTCATCATATATAACTCTTTAGTTAAATCTCATCTAGACTATATATGATACAGATCTGGGGCTCAACTTTTAAATCCCCTCCAATGAACTCAAAATAAAATAATAAAAATTATTTTCCATTATCAACATACAACGCCAACTAACGAAATCTATTCAAAAAGTAAAATATTAAATTTAAGAAATCTTTATTTTTATAACACTTGCATCTTAATTCAAAAGATTATATCAAAACACATTCACTCCAATATTAAATTAGCTTTAAATTTAAGAAATAAAGACCAATTACAGCTTGAATTAATCAAGCCAAGAACAAACTATGGCAAAAAAACATTACGATATGAAGGAGTACAATTATTTAAGCCACCCGCGTATATGTATACGTAGTTTTTTAAGTTTTTGTTATGTAAATCTCATTGTAAATGCAATTAAGCTTATGAGAAATAAAGTTCTGTAAACATAAACATCTAAAATGTAAATCTCGGGCCTGACTACGCAGTCGCAGGTTAAGAAGAAGAGGATAGCTAGCTTGAAATTAAGGTCACTACTACGCCCGGCGCGGCGCCAGCCTTGATTTCGGTCTTAGGACCGCCCCGAAAGAGGTGACCAACAATCGGGCGCGGGCATCGCGGGTCAAAGGCAACTAACCGCTCCCGCCCGCGTCCGCCTTGTATGCCGATGGGCTCTCGCAGGTGCAGTGGATGTGGCTAAACGCCACACTTCCCCCGCCACTGTATTCTGGCACGGCAGGGCCTCGGTAAAGATTCGATTCCTCCAAATAAAAAAAAGAGCTTGAAGCTAAGGTACAAAGTCGAACCTGTTTCTTAAGTAGCAAAGCGCACACGGAACTGAGTATAGACATAGACCGAGGCGGATGCTGGAGGAGGGAGGAGGCGGGAGACGAAAAGGTGAGGGAGTCGGCGACTCGCTCCCGAAGTCGCTGTTGCTCTTGCAGCTCCATAAGATTCACTGGAATCGGTTTTAAGAAAGTTTCTGACAGGAAGACTGCGGTTCAACTATACTTTACATACATTTGATTTGCATGCTAAAAATTTTATGGTGATAGATCCTGCCAATATAAGAAAAATCCTGAAATTTGAACTTGTAGAAACTCCTACTTTTGAGAAATACATTTTTTAAACATTAGAATTGGGGGATTCTGCCCCCGCGACGATATAAATGTTCTAAAGTAACCTAACCGACGTATTTGGGTTTCGATTAGCGCGCGGTCTGGTTTGGTCACAAAAAGTTTTCGTAAAATAATTATTTTTATATCATCGATCTATCAACCATAAAATTTTCAGTGTTCACTTGTCAGTTGTCACCTTGACAGATATTAACTATGGAAAATGAAGGACGGCTGCAGGTCTCACCGGGCGAAAGTCTGCAGCTGATTTCCGTCTGTTGCGCTGTGGTTCGCAGCTCCTTGTCGCGTTGGTTTCGCTGGTTGTGCGCGTTCGGCTGCCGGATGAGTCATGATCAATGGTTCGTTCGCTGAGTGCTGGTTACAGACCCAATTGCGAAGGTATAAATGGAAAATAAAACATTTTCACGTTTCCTTTATAGCCTGGAATCCGAACCCCGTTCAACGCAGGCAGACAAATATTTTTATAAACATTCTTTGTCAATACGATCGAAAATATTTCGTACTACTTCGTCTTACAGGCATTTGCAACGACGAACAACTAGATGCAGACATGCCGATCGTGACTCTGCTGTCCGAGCCGCGGCTGCCCCAAAATATGAGCAGCGTTTGACCCTCAGTCGCTCCACATTCCTGCGTACAAAACACAACAATTTAGGTACTATTCGACCGATAAAATTCAGCGCCTTAAAGAATTAGTTTAACGCTTACCCGTATCAAACTCTGCAAGCTGCAAGCTCTGTGGTACTGGAACTGAACTCTTTGCAAAGTTTCTTCGATGTTGGTTTTGTAGTTTGGGGGCGGGGCGAGAACGACTCGTCTCAAATTTTCCACGGCATTGACGGGGAAGAGGGGCGGCTCGTTAGACTCTATTAGGCGATTTAAATTGACGAATTTACGCATTCTTTACTCGTTTCGGGGACATATTTCCGGAAGGCGTTCAGTTGTAACTGCTAAATTTGTCAGCCATTTAGTTTGTTCCACATAATTGTTGAAGCGTTCTATTGACGTAGTCAAACGGTGGCTTTGCACAGAGAACGAAAATTAATAAAGGTTAAAACAGGTACAACATCAAAATGTGAGTATTACAATTCGTAATAGTAGTAATGTACCCACTCGCAAAAAGTGATTTAAAAATACACTCAATATTAAATCTGTTACATAATAAAAAATAGGAAATATATAATACCAGGAAATATCGACTCCTCTTCTGAACCCCTAAAAAACTTGACCGTCGATAATTCACACACCGGAGTAGGTATACTCAATTTCACCGTGCACCGTGTTATAATAAGCATTGTACTCTTTCACTAGGCAGTACATTCTGTGGTCAAAAGAACATGGGTTGCCATAAAATATTACCGCCATCTCGTTTACCCAAAAAAAATAAAGATACTCGACATTGACATAACGATAATGTCATATCAATATGACATCTTTCCTCATTGAATCTAAAACATACTTCCCCTCCACGTGAAAACAGACTCACTTAAATACAATCTTGTGAAATATTTCAAAACAATAAACGAGCAGCGAGTAGCGAGCATGGCGGTCCGCGTACAATTTGAAAACAACAATGAAGTGGGAGTGTTTAGTAAACTAACAAATTCGTATTGTCTGGTCGCCATCGGGGGCTCCGAGAACTTCTACAGTGTTTTTGAAGCCGAATTGGCAGACACGGTTCCCGTGGTGCACGTAAGTGTCGCCGGTTGCCGCATTATCGGGCGGATGATGGTCGCCAACAAGAACGGGTTGCTCGTGCCCTCATCCACGACCGACACTGAGCTGCAACATATCCGCAACAGCTTACCGGACAACGTAAAGGTGCAAAGGGTCGAGGAGCGATTGAGCGCTCTTGGAAACGTCATCGCGTGCAACGACTACGTCGCCTTGGTTCACCCAGATTTGGACAAAGACACAGAGGAAATCCTAGCAGATACACTAGACGTAGAAGTATTTCGACAGACTGTGGCCGGCAACGTGTTAGTGGGATCTTACACGGCATTGAGCAATCGGGGAGGACTTGTGCACCCAAAGACTACCATACAAGATCAAGATGAACTGTCCTCTTTGTTACAAGTACCTTTAGTAGCTGGAACAGTGAATAGAGGCAGCGACGTAGTCGCCGCCGGACTTGTCGTCAACGATTGGAGTGCCTTCTGCGGGATGGACACCACATCCACTGAAATATCAGTTATAGAAAGTGTTTTCAAGCTCAACGAGGCCAAACCCAGTGCAATCACATCTACAATGAGAGCATCCCTAATCGACAGCATGTCATAATGTATAATGATGTAACTTAGGTTAAATTCAATCAAAGTGATAAGTTTAAGTATCTGTTGAACAGAATTTCTTCAATAAACTTTTTAATAATTTACAACTTTTATTATTTAGTTATGTCATATTACACAATAATATATTTGTAGATAAAAGGATATATCAGACACAGTGATAGACTGGCACATCAATAGTTTTATTCGTGAACATTTCAATCCAAGCTTAGTGTCCTATCCTAATCGAATTTACTTCTTCAAAGCATTGGATAGGAATACCTTTATGGACACATTTTGCTCCTGATTTAAGGAGATAGGCAGAAGTATCGTCTTATCTAGTAAACACCATATCTACACTGTCACTTCATATTGATCGAAACTTACACCCGAAATTAGGATTGAGACTAAAAAACTATGCAATATTGTGTCAACAGAATTATAATCTAATATATGTATGACTATGTGTGCTGTTTTCCTATAAACTATACTTTTCAATCTATAACAGGAAAGTTGTTCTATCCTTTAAATAAGTACAATAAATGTTTGGTCAATTATTATAAACATTATTTACAAATTAATATTGGATTAAATCAGCACCAAATAGAATAAATACTTTTTTGTACTCCAATTTGGGTAATTACAATAATACATAAATTATGTCTAAACTTAAAGATATACAAAATTATTATCTTTGTATTGTGCTGGCGATGGTATTTAAATAAAAAATTTGATAACATTTTCAGTCTTGTTTTAAATAGAATCTCAAAGCTTGAAAAATTTAAGTAAGTATGAGGATTGGCAATGCTCGAGCAAACAATATTGAACTCCAGAAATATCATAATAAATTGCCGATGCCACATTCTTTGTTAGATGTCTAGTCTAGATGGTGACTACATATTAAAAGACAGCACTTGAAATGACTAATGGTGTCGGAAAATAGATAGCAAATATCTCATAGAAAATGTATGCAAACAATGCAAAAGCTTCTTCATTCTAGTTCACCATACAACGTGAGAAGTACTTCGGTTGAATTTTAAAGAGAGAAGTGGTGATCAGAATATTATAAATCATTCCTTATAAAGAACAATATACAACTTGGAGAAAATGATTGCATATGCCAACAGCGGCACAGTTGATTACATTTCACAATGTATTTATTATAAAAAAAAATAGATTATTAAAAATGTACTATAATACAATATTCTGTGTATGGATAGAGATAAGAAATTTCCAATTTTTAAACGATACAATATCAGGTACCATTTTTGTTTCAAATGTGTCCGTAACAAATATAAACCAAATTTGCAGGATATAAAAACACTATATATTTGTATTTAGTATTGACCATGATTGCTAATGGATAAAAAAACGGATCTTGAACCATTCTCGGGTTAAATCTTACCCTCGCTTAAACCTCACTCTGCCTCTGGAGTCGAGGTTGTGCTGAAAAGGGGAACAAGGTTCGGAGCAATATCGCTTTTGCGTTTCTCATCTGGGTTCCATCTTTTTCAAAAGTACATGGCCTTAAACGGTTGTTCCACCATCCTCTCGTAGAACAAGAGATAAGCTGAACACCGCAATACCTCCTGAAGCGACACTTCGTGGACCAGCGTGTCTGATGTGTACCACCAACTGAACATAGATAGACTGCTTTAATGCCTCTTTAGAATTCTAACGGATAAAAATAAAATAAAATATACTTTATTCTCTATAAAATTGTAAAAATAATTTAGATTCGTCAAAAAAATGTATAATAATATGTTTGTTTGTACGTTCGTCGCGATTCTCCAGTCTTCAAAAGAACAACATAACCGAGAAGAACACCCAAGAAACTCAGTCTGGCTTTTTATAAATATAAATATAAAAATGCTGTTTTATGATAGAGAAGTTTCATTTAAAATAATAAAATCTTTTTATTAAACTTGGAGTACCGTTTGCTCTCGAAGCCATTGCCGCGCCTGTAGGTGGCGAAGTGTCCCGAACGAGGCCCGCCCACATGCACCACGACCGCCACCAGCAGGTACAGAGTGCGCTCGCCGCCTTCGCCTCCTGCCGCAGCGTTGACCAACGAGAGGCCGCTGCGCAGGCGCCCTTCGCCCAATACCGCCGAGATGTCGACCGGCTGGCTCTGCGCCGTCGGCGAGGTGTACGGCGCCATACTCAGCGTCTCCGTGAAGGCCACGAACTCGCTTCTCTTGCTCAATCCGGAGGCGCTCCATTCCACTCGGGACACGTGCAGGCACAGGCAGGTCGGCAGCTGACGATACATTCTTATGTCACCATATCATTCATTCGTTGAAGCATAAATTTATAGTTATATAAAGAGTTTTGTTTCACTCCCAAACGTGATGAGGGATTTCTTAAAAAAATTTAGACTTGAATAATCGAAATTTAGGGGCTCACCTTCGCAAAGCCTAGCGTGCGTATGTGCTTGGTGTAGGTTCGTTCGGGAGCGTCGAGCCCTTTCTCAGGGACGCATTTGCTGCACCTTAAGCCGCTCACTATCTCGGGAGATGTGAAAGCTCGGATCAGACCTGAAAGATTTTCAATATTCATCAAGTCTCATGTAAAACTAAGTTGAAGTAAGTAAAACAGAAACGATAAGCACCTGCCAAACTGTAGCTGCCATTGATTCCTGCGCTGGCGTTGCTCATGGATAATGACACGCTGTCAAACTTATCATAGCGCACAGGGCTCTAAAATCACAAATTATTATTCTATCACTAGTTCTATATACTAAAGCAAATGGGTGTGTCCGGGGCTACCTCATATATATGAAAGCACGACGAGCATACCTTAGTGGAGCACACGGTGCAATGCGTTCTACTCGCGAGGGTGCCGCGAAACGGCGGCGCAGGCGCAGGCCGGGCGGGGGCGCATGCCCAACGGCGGCCCACGCTGCTTAAGTGGCAGAAAGAGCGCGAGACGCCCTTGCGCAGTGGAGTCGGTTCTGTTTCGGGTTCATCTATACCAATATCACAATTTTAAACTTCTTCAGTAAAGTATTATAATATGAATCATATGCAGAATAAAACTTTGCAAAATATGTAGACATCTTATGTGGATTTCATTGTTACTCTGTATTACATTGATTGCATTAAGAAAAAAAAATCCCAAGTTACAATAAGATATCCCAGAAGAATAGGATAACTTATTTCAAAAACGAAGACGAATAGCATGTCACCTGGATCAGCCAAGTCCGGTTCTATGGGAGGGGCAGCAGAAGCAGGGCGAGCAGGACGTAATGAAAAGGAACCAGAAGGCGGAGATGCAGGCGACGCTAGAGCTGACCACGCCTTGGCTCCACCGAGTCCTAAGGCGTCCGACAAACAGCCAGGCTAAAAATGACAATTTTATACAAAATTGCAACTTGCATATTTATAATTATAGGATGTTAAAAAAGCAAAAATATATATATATTTCAATAACTTTTTATAAAATTAGTTAACAGGGTGTCAACATTTTTTAATAGAATGTGGCTTGAAAGGATCTAAGCATATTTATAATTTTATTGAAATCTACAAAGTATGCCTGACACAGCGAAAGGTCAGTGAAAGGTGAGTACCTATTGCCATTTTCTTTATCATATTTAAAAAAATATTGTATAAAAGTTTTAAGCAAAGTAACTCTAAACATAACTAAATTAAATTAGTTTGGCAATGACTTTTAAAATGGCTGTACATGAGTAAACGGGACAACAGATCACCACAGTGGCAATCCTGTTAATTCCAAAATCTTTACAAAATTTTATAATCAGGTCAAGTACCTATAGTGTAGGGGTAAATTTAATGTGAAGTGCGGTAGCTTCCTGTACACTTTACAGGATAGATCACCTTCTTAGCCATAGCAGCAGTCTCCTCCTCAATACAGTTAAGCAGCACATGTAATAGCTCATGAGCATCCTGTTGGTCAGCCGGCACGACCCATCCGGCTGCTCTCAACGCTTGCAACACTCCTAGGGGACATACTGGGGTGCCTCGGGCCGATTCATGGGTGCCATTCACAACTAATAATATTAATGTGAAAGAAAATTAACCGCATTTACTCTACAAAAAAGACTGTTTGAAAAAAGATTAATATAAAATATATTTAATGTAGAAACAATAATAGGGCAATCACCTAATATGTATTTATTTTTAAAGACAAAAATTCTATCACAAGCACGGCTCAGGTGTATTATTGGTCACATAGCATAAAGGGCTCAAAGGGCTGTTCTTGCTGGTGAATAAATAATAAGTCAATTAGTGATGATATTCTATTCTATCTCTATATCTGAGATTAAAATACCTTCAATAACAGTATAAAGAGTTGTTATCATACTGTTGTGGCCGTCGGCTTTCGCGTATTTCTTCAACCACTCTATGAAAGTAGGGCACGCTGCGAGCGCTTGAAGCAGAGTGTTCAGGAAACATGTCCGACCTAGATTTTGTAACCCGGCGATCTGACCCCTTCGCTTGCGTACTTTAGGAGCGCCACCGGGGCCCCAAAGGACGAAGGCGCCCACCACGACGGCCGCCGTGAGACCTGCGGCGACCAATATCCTATCGCCCCCGTCCATTACTTCTTTTATGTACAATCTTTGTATCTATTGCTCCATGACGAAAGTCGCGCGGAGTCGACTCGTACGCGTCACAACTTCTATATGACCTTAAATGTTATCACTCGTGAGCCTCAAGTCCGTAACAGGATTTTCAGATATCACATACATTTTTCCGTCTCGATATTTTTGGCAATTTTTCTTTATAATCACTGCACTTGCACTGTCACATTTCAACTCTGTATCAAATGTCAAAGACTTTTAAATGTCACTATCAAAGTGTGTCTAAAAGATTCATAATATTTTGAAATTCGGAAATTACGATGGGATGGTAGGTACATAGTAAAAATTAAAATAAAATAGGTTGATTATATACAGCTATGTATACATCACAGAAAGTACTACAAAAGTGATTAGATAAATGAATCCATCTCGTCAATATAAACGGCTAGAAGATAAGAAACGAGTTTGCAGTAGTCGTTTATTTATTGTTCTTGAATGTCGAGAGCATGATCCCTTCCAACACAATTTGCGTTTCTCAAGAGGGCCCCGCTAACGCTCTAGCATTGAACAAGGACTGCACACAAGTGGTCATCGCTGGGAGAAATGGTTAGTTTGAATATACTAGGAACTTTGGTTATTACCACAAAAAGTCAACATTTTTATTTATTTTAATATGATAAAATGTTAACAATTCCCTTTTCAGTATTCAAAGTATTTTCTATCGGCGAAGAAGAGTTCTCAGAAGTGTGTAATTTAAGAGTAGGAAAAAATTTAAATCTTAATTTCTCTTCTATTGATGTCGCTTGGAGTGCTATCGAAGGTAAGTTGGCGATTTTGATATATGAATATATAACTTTATTTCTATAGAGGAGTTAATTTTAATGAGGTTTTAGAAAACACTCTAGCAACGGCGGCAACAAACGGTGCAGTGGTTGTGTGGAACCTTGGTAGGTCTGGCCGGTCAAAGCAGGAGCACGTCTTTTCTGATCATAAGAGAACTGTCAATAAGGTAATGTTTTGCCTTTTTAATTGTTTAACAATTTTTTAACAAATTACATTATGTGGACATTAATAAATTTATTGTTTAAAGGTTAGCTTCCACTTGACGGAGCCATCCCTGTTAATTTCTGGTTCCCAAGATGGGACTATGAAATGCTTTGATCTTCGGATGAAAGAAGTAGCAAGGACATTTATTAGGTAATTATTTTCTTTCTTATTTTTTTCTAAATTATAAGTTTATTCATATATCTAGAGGATCATTGAGTATGAGTCAAATAGTGATTTGAATAATTGATCTATCACTTTGAAATGAGATTTTACCAAGGTCAAGTTTATTTCTATTGGGTACTGGCCTATATGTGTACTGTAGGTAATTTGCACAAGTAATAATAAATTGTTTGTTTGTTGTAGCAATACCGAATCAATTCGCGATGTCCAATTTAGTCCGCACACGGCCCACCTATTCGCCGCCGTGTCCGAGAACGGGACGGTCCAGCTGTGGGACGCCAGACGCCACGACAGGGCCTCGCATCACTTTACGGCGCACTCAGGCCCAGTGTTTGCTTGCGACTGGCACCCCGAGGTCCCATGGCTCGCCACAGCGTCGCGAGATAAGACGATTAAGGTCCAAAAATTTACGATCACTGAATTTATTTATCTCTGCTGTCTGCTGCTATAACGTAGCTTTTCTTCGAACCCTTCTGCCCACTGCAGTCACTGCTTTTATACTTACTTACTTTACTACCTTTTAATTAAAAATGTAATGTAGTACAAAAAAGTAGTAGTAAGTACTTATCTTCATTGCCATGACAGAGCAAAAGTTTCCTTCTACAAAGACCGCTAATGGCCTTCGGGCGTCGTCTTCCTGTTTGCAGGTCTGGGACATTCACGCGAAGCCCAACCTGGAACACACAATTTATACGATAGCCTCCGTCGGACACGTCAAGTGGAGGCCACAAAGGAAGTAAGTCTCGATAAGGTTTCTCGCATCTGCCAGCACCATTTATAAGATATTTCGTTTTGATGCAGGAATTACGAGTAGTAGTGATGGAGTATGCCTTTGGCAGGTACCAGGTCGCGTCGTGCGCGCTTGTACTGGACTGCGCCGTGCACGTGTGGGACGTGCGACGGCCCAACGTGCCTCTGGCCACGTTCGCCGAGCACCGCGACGTCACCACGGCCATCGCCTGGCAGGCCTCGCCTCATGTGTTCCTCTCCACGAGCCGGGTTCGTGAAAGGCGTATGCGAAGTCACACTCTGACTGATTTGCATCGTGATAAGTCTGTGTCTGTGGATATAATTGTGTTTAAATTATTAGGATTGCAGCTTGTACCGGCACAAGTTTAGCGAAGCGGCCCACCCTGTCCTGTGGGCTAGCCCGCACGGCGTGAGCGTATCTGCGCGTGGGCACGTGGCCCACGCCGTGCCCGACACCCCGCTACCCGCCCGCCCTCTCTCTGCGCCCGCTCATCCACGCCCTCATCACCCGCACCACGTGCCTTTGCCGTAAGTAGCGTCGCTGCAACGCATTGCCGATTCGGAAAGTAGACTTTTGACTGTCATGTGTCCGTCGGTCAGTCGGAAGCAGCCGACCGCGGGCTCGTTGAGCGGCAGCGCGCAGGCGGCGTTCGAGCGGCTGTTCCCGATAGGCGCGGCCAGCACGCTGAGCCGTCACTGCCCCATCTCGCAGGAGGAGCCCGTGCTAGCGTGCGCCGAGGGCTACCGCTTCCACGGCGACCCACCACACTTGCTAGCGCACCACAATGCCGCGGTCGCCTCGCGCTGCGATAGGCATATGGTGAGATATTACGCGGTCTTACCTTATTATCGTGTATCCGTTCGTCGTTCGTCAAACGTTACAGGTGGCGCACGTGTGGAACGTTGTGGGCGCGGTGTATGCGGCGAGGACGCCCCCCGACCCTGCTCGCGCTCCTCCCCCGCCTTCCGAGCCGCCGCTGCGAGCCGATCCCGCGCCGCCTATACCCAACTACAAGTCAGTCTCCCATTGCGCTGGTTAAGTGCAAACCGCGATGATGCAATCCACTGATTAATCAGCATTTCATAACGTCTTCGAACAGCGCGGTGGAAGAGGAGACGGAGGAAGAGAGCGAGGAGTGGGAGAGCCGCACGCACAAGCACAGCGGGGTCCTCGGCCTGCCCACGCACACCATCTACATTCCCCCGCACAAATTCGCCAAACGGGACACCGGTGAGGCTGTTAGCTTTCTTAAGATTCAAACCGTTTATACCATTAGACAATAGTTATGTTATGTGTACACTAGAATTAGGGCGTTTTCTTTAATAATATAATGAAGCTCTCGGTAAAATGTCTTTTGAAACGGACTCATTCCGCAGAAAACGGCTGGGTGTCGGCAGCGTCGGCGCACTACGTGGACGTGGAGGCGGCGGACTGGACTCTGCCGGACGAGGCGTTCCAGCTGCGCACGCACCTCCACCAGCATCCACCCTCGCACAGCAACGTCGATGACCACGACAACGATGCCAACGGTACCGCAGAAATTATTTGTCGTCGCATTGGTAAAGAAAATAATTAAATACCATTTCCAGACACAGCAAACTCAAGCGGGCACATGAACGGGCACGGGGTCGCACCCGGCTCCCCGGGGGGATCCACGGGGTCGAGCTCTCACCCGTCCCACCCATCAGGGGGTGTGCCGGGTGTGGCTCACGCCGGCTCCTCTCCGACTCTACAGCGGTCCAACAGTCAGACCACCGCGGCACAATCGGTAATTTAATATTTATTTAGCACTGAGCCGCAGGCAGGTATTTGACGTTTTGAATGTGGACAGAGCGAAGAGGGAGAGGTAGACAGTGTACTCGGCGGCCCCGAGCGACCGGGCGCGTCTGCAAACGCGGGCTGGCGGAGCGGGCGCATGGACGTGGCGCCGCTGCTGGCAAGCGCCTTGCAGCATCACGCCGCCCTCGGGGACGTTCAAACGGCTGCGACCGTGCTGCTCGCGTTACAGGAGCATCGGTAATATGACCCGAGTGTTAGCTTTGAGTGCCGTTTACTACTGTGGCACGGAATGAGTTCAAACAATGTGCAAACGCAGGAGTGAGGTGCTCGCGTACATCGACGAAGCGACGCAGGAGCAGTGGCTGCTCGGGTACATAGAGCTGCTGCAGCGGCACAAGCTGTGGAACGTGGCAGTGCAGGTGGTACGCTGCGCCTGGCTCAGCAGCGTGTGGGCGCTCAGCCACCAGTCGACGAGCATCGCGGCGTGCTGCGGCCGCTGCGGGCGCCGCACTCGTCCGCCGGCCGCCTGCGACCGTTGCGCGCCCCGCCGCACGCCCGACCTGTGCGCTGTGTGCCGGCAAGTGGTGCGGGGCCTCTACGCCTGGTGTCAGGGCTGTTCGCACGGCGGACACTTACACCACATGCGGCGCTGGATGCAGAAGCACCAACTTTGCCCGGCGGGCTGCGGCCACCACTGCCAACTCGGCTAGTCGCCTATAGATATCTAAGAGTACAAATTTTATAAACGCGAATAAAACGATTTTTGGGTACCTTGTATGATTTTATTAATGGAAACGTATACAATAATACTGTGTTATGAGTTTTAACAGTGGCCGGCGCTCGGGTTGCGTTCGATCGTTGCGCCGGTTCGAGAACTCCGTCCGGCTCGTGCCCGACCGACAAAACTCTTAGTAACAAAAACTAAAATTATATGCGTATTAAAATCTAAAGTCAAGACAAAAAGTTGGTCCCGGTCGAGGAGTTCTCTCGGCCTTAAAATTCAAATGCTGAACCCGAGCCGGGATCAGTATAGGCACCGAGCTAGCTGAAATAGATCCTAAACAAACATCGGCCGAGTCAGGCGACGACGCAGCAGCGCGCTGCGCACGATTGTCCCTCGTGTTCGGCGTCGTCCACTGCGAGACCTTTCTTCTGCGCAGACATCGCGCGGATCAACGCGAGGAAGGCCTGGAAATTCTGACACATTACATCTGGCACTGGACGCAGTGATCTAGCTCAAGGGCAACTCTCTGCGCAGATATTAACTATAACTAACTTTTACCAACACAATAAATTTTAGATTGAGAATCAGTCAACTGAGAGTTGCCCCCGAAAAGCCGTTGCGTAGGGACGAACAATTAGTCTGCAGTGTTGTAGATTTACTGTATTCGTTATTAAATTATAGATAGGAGGGTTTTAATGTTAAGTAACATTCGAGTGCAACAAAATTTCTTAGTTTAGCCTTAATTACTAACCGGAGAAATAATAGAAGGCGTTCTGCAAATCGGTATATTTTTGCCTCTTCATTATAAACATATACACTGCGTACATACACATATAAATAATTAATAATTTATCAACCTCTATACATACGGACTTTCAACATTGCGACACCTCTTACACTCTATACGACGGTACAGTAGTTTCACATAACTATGTCATTACAGTACACAAGAAAAACATGGAATCAGATCATCACCATAATCATGACGTAAGCTAGCTCAGTACAAAAGCGTGCCAAACGTGGGATTCCACCGTGTCCAGTGGGACTGAGGGGCCTTATCAATATAATATATCGATATGACAGTGGTCTCGCCCGACCCCAATCGCGCAAGCGGTGAGAAGCGACCCGGCGCATGCGAATCTCAGCCTTTCAGCGAACTAGCAAAATATATTATTCCATACCTGTCTACCGTTGTCTCGCTTCGGGACGATTAGCATTCAGAGTAGTCGTATTGATGAAAGTGCAAATGAGATATTGCATGCGAGCGCTCTCTGCCGCGACAAAACGGTAAGCCTCTTATAATCTAGGAATGACAATAAATACGCGTAACACTTCGACCGTTTTGTTTCTCGTAAACGGAGTGAGTGAAAAGTTCATTTATTCCCGATTGTTAAGAAAGTAGAAGAAAAATGAAAATAATTTTTAAATTTGTAACAGTAACATTAGTACCCTTTATTTCGTCGGCAATAGGAAATGCAACTCATAAATCTGACGCCGCGGTGCGAGCGAAGAGCCAAAGCTAGGAACGAGTGCTTCGCAGCACCGAAGGGTCGCTGCGCGAGAGACGCGAGCGCGCATCCCGGAGTCGTTTCGAGACACCTGACGTACAAAGCTTAAAACTACAGAGAGGGCGTCGCGGCGGGGCCTACAAGATGGCGCACTTGATTTTCCTGCGTTTCTTTCCTCGAACGTCCCCGTTGGTCGCGCGACTGTCGTCCGACTTCCGCGATCGGATCTCCCGCATCAGATCGAAGAACACCTGCGCACCACACAACGCGTTACACACACAGAACGGAACACCAGGCACGCGCGCCGAACGGTTTGCCGGACGAGGCCTCCGCAACTAGCGTGACAAACTATTCAGCGGCGCGTGCAGAGAAGCGACGGACGAAGCGAGAGAGAGAGAGAGAGAGGCGCACCTTGTCCACATTGTCGCGCGTCTTGGCCGAGGTCTCGACGTAGGGCACCTGCCAGGCCGAAGCCCGGTCGCGGCAGGCGTCGAGCGGCACGCGTCGTTTCTCCGCCAGGTCCGATTTGTTGCCGACCAGGAGGAAGGGGATGCTCTCGTCGTTCTTGACACGCAGAATTTGCTCGCGGAACTCCTGTGTCGCTTCGAAGCTCTCGGGCTCCGTGATTGAGAAGACGCACAGGAAACCCTCGCCCGACCGGAAGTAGTTGTCCCGGATGGCCGCGTAGTCCTCCTGCCCCGCGGTGTCGAGGATGTCGATCTGAACCTCTTCGCCGTCGAGCACCACCTGCAACGATCGGTAACACAGTACTGCATGCGAGACCGGAAGCCGAGCCCGCGGACGAGGGTGGGCGGCGTACCTTTTTCCTGTAGCTGTCGGCCTTGGTGGGCTCGTAATCTTCGACGAACTCGTCGTACATGAACTGCAGCGTCAGAGCCGACTTGCCCACCCCCCCGGACCCCACCATTATCACCTTATGCAGCGTAGGCGCGGCGGCCGGTTTCTTCGACATATCGGGTGATACACAACTCTGCAACAGAATACCTCTTTTTACCATCTACGGTCTGTCCTATACTCACATAGTTATGAAATTTGTTGGAAACTAATGTTTTATAATCCCTTATAAGGCATTGTCTTACTGTTAACAACGTTACTAATTAAATACTATTTGTCTGTACGAATGAAACATAGCCGTATAGACTCTCGAGCAAATCGGTTTTAAAGTCCCCCGATCTTCCTCCCGCATCAAAGAGACGTTTCACATTCCCATGGCGAGCACTGACAACGTTAAAAATACAGTAAAAGCTCTTTATTCGCGGGGTATATGTTCCATAAATATGCCGCGAATAAAGAAACCGTGAGTACGTAATGGCAATTTATATGGGATCATAGGGGATACGTGGTGACAAAATAAAATAAAAAAAAAAATATTTAATTGAAGTTTTTGAACATTTTAATTAATTATCTTAAGGCTTAGGCAATGGTTTGAAGAATTTAGTAATTTTTTCTTGCTTGGCAGTTTTCAAAAGCTCCTTCAATTCAGACTGGTACACAGCAGTCGAATTAGCAATTTGCCTCTTAAAAATAAGACTTCGTTCCATAGACAAATTTTTAGTCGCGAATATAGGAATTGGGTCGCATTTTTTTTCCCGCGGATAGTGAAAACGCGAATAAGGAGCTTTTAATGTAGTTTCATTATTAGAAGTTGTATTTTTATAATAACAATTTAAATTCGGTCGATATTTTTCTAGTGCTATCTTTAAATACAAAACTTGTATATCTAATTTAAGCCGTAGTTTTAAAATTATTGTTATCACTTTCTTGTTCTTGTTCCTAAGATTTTTCTTTTACTGTTTGTTTCGTATCCAAATAAAATGAAAATAAAGAAAGAAACAGACTAATGGCAATATGTTCGCACTATTCCGCGAATGAGCGACGCAACGGACGCGGAAAGGCGCCGACGGGCCACGGAAAGCGTGTCGGTCGGTTCTTGCGTCACACTGATACACTGAACCGATTCACGGCCATTGTACTGATGTATGTACCGTACGCGAAACCCGTCCGAGAGAATAACCGCACAAATTAGGTTAGGTCGAGATCGCGTGTGCGCGGCCGGAGTCGCCTATGCCGGGGACGGATACACGAGTGCCACAAAAGGTTGGTACTTTGGTTGATGTGATGCAAATTCCAATCACATCACAACGATGCATTACGCTTTTCTTTGGACGGCTGTTCTTTTCAGATAGTCGGTTCGAGGTTAGTAACCACGGATACGAGTAAATGAATACAGGAAATCTACTTTTAAAGTACTCGTATCGATGGAACCTTACTTAGTTTGACCGAACATAAAACCTTACACAAATAGACCTCAAGTCTTACTCGACTATACGTACGGGACGGAAATACAACAAATCTATAACACAGTAAAAGAAATATCTTAGGAACAAGAATAAGAAAGTGATAACCATAATTTTGAAACTACTTAGGTACGGCTTAAATATTAAATAGAACTAGACAAAGTGCAGAGGTTAGCCACATTGATGAGGACAACATCAACAGCGGCGCTAGAGATCATCCTTGGACTAACGCCACTAGATCTAGAAATAAAAAGGAAAGCCACGGAAACGTGGTTCAGGTTAAAAAGCGCAGACCAATGGAAAAGAAATATCATGGACAAAGGTCATGCTAGAATAGGTAAAGTAAATGACAAGAACATGTCAATGATCCTTGCCAATAATGATCTCATACAAAAGGAAAGGATTTTTGACAAGAGATACAGAATCCACATTGGGGAAAGGCTGAAGTGGAGAATAGACTCGGAAATTGTGGGCACAGTATGCTACACAGATGGTTCCAGAAAAGAATGAAACTATTTTTCATGTTATCAGTGCTCGCAATGGGAATGTGAAACGTCTCTTTGATGCGGGAGGAAGCAACTGAAGGCAGCGCCGTCAGTTCAGTGATGCCCCACACTTGATATTTTAAATAGAATAGTACATACCTATAGTTAATTCATATTAACAATATATAAAATAAAAACAAATAAACTAAATTGTATTTTAAACTTTACTTGTTTCAACTAAGGTCACCTTTAAAATTCTCCTGTGTGTTTATACATTCAATTATAAGAGAATATAACCAGAATTCCCCTTTACCCCTTCCCTTGGCACCAAGTGTTGAATTTCACACTATTCTGAATTTTGAATATTTTTACAAATTAATTTAAAGGTTGTGCGAGTATTTTAAACATTGTTAAAAAGTTTATTGCTATCCACAAATGATATAAACAATAATCTTGTGATATAAACTATCAGTAGTGTGTGTCTGTGTGAATAATGAGGCAAATTAGTCTTAATAGTTTCATAGTTGAGTCGCTGTGAAATAGAAACCTAGGACAATGCTCTCTAGTGAGAAGCAAATGTACTCATCACTGTGTGAATGCATCTGAGCACTTTCCATGTCCCGCATTATTCATATTTTTTAATTACTGCATTTGTGTTCATGCTACAATAATCTGATAACTATTTTTAAGAGAAAATATTGATAAATATATCATAATAGAAGTGTGGTTCCTCTCAAATAGAATGGTGAAAAGGTGGTGGTAGGCAACATGGCATAAATAATTACCTTGTTTTCTTCTAAAAAAGTTGAAGATAGCTCATATGCTATAGCTGAAAACATTACTAAATCACTGCAGAAATTCCTCGCGTGAGGTTCTACGTGGTGTTCGTGATCCCATTATACTATATAATCAAATGAACACATAAGGGAAACAATGGCTGGACATTACAGATACAGCGAATTGTGAATAATTATCTCCGTCACGGAAACTTGTGTAGTTTCGAATTAGTCACACGACAAGACAATACGTCTAATGACACCAGGTCAAAGCAGACGTGTAACGCGACAAATGTTAAAGGCAGCCAGCGAAGAACTGTAGCTGGAGCCAGAGAGGCGTTGCCGCTACGTATGCTCGTAAACAATCACGTCACTTCGCTCAAAATGGTTTCGACCCGTTTAGCATTTCTATCACGTTATAACTCACCAGGGCAGCCAGACAGAAGCTTAAGGCGTCCTGTTGTTTATTGTGGCACTAATAACTTATACACTTCTTTCGTCAATTTATTTTGGACCGTCAATATACGAGTCAATTTGACAAAGAAATGTCAAGCGATTATTTGTCAATCATCCTTCCCGTCATTGTTAAATGCATATGTCGAATCCTTCTATAGTCTATTTATGGCACATCTGCTAAAATTTATCTATATCTATTACAAAATACACACTGTCATTTATATATTATAGAAGAAGTAAATTGCGACTTGTGATGCGCAATCAGCAATTACATTTTACAACTGTCATTTTGATGGTTTTCAGTTTTCAGTGATCAGTCTCTATAAATGGATTCTTGTATAAGATAAAGCACAGTCTGTGATTTTTTAATAAGGCACGATTATTTTGCATATTATTGATGTTGATGTTGAATGAAGTAAAGAAAGTATTTACAAAACATAAACGGTGCCACAAGAAGAGAATGATTATAAGAAAGGCTATGTATTTAGTGATTGTCGATCATATATCATATTAGATAAATCAGCAGAGATGGGATCGACGGGAAGAATAGACATAGTTTGGTCTCCAATCCACCATGACAAGTTTATTGTTTGGAGTCAGGACATAACCCTTTACGAGGTGGCTCGATTAAAGGATATCGAGAAGAAGATTTCATGTATGTATTGTATCTGTACCGGGGAATGTTGGGATAGCTGTCAACTTATATTAATAAATAAAACTTGATCAGTTACGCAGTTATCGTCCACTCGCGGTGCAACAGTAGTGGCTTCGCAAAGCGGAAACGGAGTCCGGTGTGTGGACATCAGTGCCATCTCTGATCATCCTGACCCCATACTGGCTTTGGGTTACGAGAGCGGTAGAGTTTCACTCACTAGCCTTAAACAAGCATATGATCCCTTAGGGCTTGTTGGAAGAGAATTTGGTAAGTCTTACAAGCACTGTAGCAGACAGCAGTGTGTGATCAGTGCGCAACTAGACATGCCTAGTGAGGCCTTTTATGAACAGAATACAGTATTGTACTTAGATTTTGGAAGGATTTTAATGAATAAGCTTTGAAGTCCAAGTAGGGCTTCTCTTAAATGTTTGAAATTATCTGATATTGTGTTTTTTCAATAACCTCTCATTGCTCTCACATAGACGGTGCAGTGAGCAGCTATTGTCTTATTGACATTGATCACAAAAATTGACAATTTTTTTAAAGTATTGTATGAAAATATATTGAATATTTCAACTCTATTCATTCCTTGTACAAGCCTGAGTCTCAGTCGTAAAATTATATTGTTTTGTTGGCTTTTTGTAATTTTGACTAACACAAGTCCTATATATAACAATAGTTATGTCAAAATGTTTATTTTTTAGACAAATTTTGTATGGGATTGTGTATCTAGTGTATCAGTGATAGAAGCTTAATGACATTGTATTTATTTGTTTATCTACTCAAAAATGTTTGCCTTAGTAGTAAGTATAAGAACATTGCATAATATTGTCATGTAATAAATTTTTGTGAACCTTCCAATGTATATTGATAATAATGTATTGCATAGTTGCAAGGTATCCTCGAGCGTGCAACAGCTTAGCTTGGAATCCCACCGAGAGCAATCTCTTAGCTGTTGGAATGGACAAGCATCGTGCAGATAACTGCATCCTCCTGTGGGATATGAACACATGCACCAGTGACGAATTTCCTGGAGGTAAACTAAAATCTTTTTCTTGAAAAAAATAAAATAAAAAAATACCTTAGCTAGTTTACACCTAGTGTGCACTTTTTTTGAAGTACATAAACAACTAAATAAATAAACATTTTAACCAGAGAGCGGAACGCCGCCATCTTGGGAGAGAGCTAGGCCTATAGGGGAGCTGGCTCTGGGAGAAACTGCGCATTGTTTGGCTTGGTGTGGCTTCTCACCGCGCACACTCGCAGTCTCTATGAACCTCAAACACATTAAGCTCTTCGACCTGAGAGGTACGCGCCAACACTTAACGAGTGCCTCACGCTAACTACTGAGCAGTAATACCCGCCATTCGTTCGCTAGAAGGAGGCGGCAAGGCGGCGGGTGTGGCCACGTCCCGCCACTGCCTCGGCGTCTGCGCTGAGAGGCAGGGTTACCAGATCGCGTCTCGCGGGGACAGCGCACTCTGTGTCTGGGACGCCAGAGCGCTCAATACGCCTCTGCTGACGCTGCCGCAACAAAAGCCCACGCGCAAGATCCAGTGGTGCCCGACTAGGTCGCCGTTCGTTTACCGAATCGTGCGTTGTCCGCGTCGATGGACGAAATTCACTAAGTGACGTTCATTCGAATTTCAGAAGTAACTTGCTGCTCTCCCTGCAGCGAGACTCGAGCGTTCTTCGGCTGCACGATATTCAGCAGTCCAGCGATTTCAAATCTCAACAGTCCTTCGACAGTGCCGTAGGTAGAGTCTATAGTGTAAACACCGATCATGAAATAAATAAATCAGTTAAACAATCTCTCGTTCTAGATGTCTGCGTCTAGCGCTCTCGAGGAGACGGAGAGCAGCGGCGGCGGCGCCGGACGCAGCGCGGTGGAACGCGAGGTCTCGCCTGCCTCGCAGCCGTTACTCGCCTTCGCCTGCCATCCGGAGCACCGCGCGAGACTTCTCACCCTCACCGCGACGGGTGAGACGCTCTTCCCGTCCTGACTCTTTCTTCCGCACGCGAGCATTCTCCTAAGATTCGACCTGACGCGCAGGTGCTATGGTCGAATACACGGTCTGCGAACGCGTCACGGTGTCGTGGGGCGCTAGCGGCGCCCTTGTGTGGGCGGGCGGAGGCGCTTTGCGCGCAATGCATCCGGCCTTCCACCTCCAAGTGGATGACCTCGCGCAGCGCGCCAGGAGGCGAGCGGAAGCCGACTACGGACTCAAAGTATGACCTCACTCGCGCTTTCGCCAGCGAACTAGACGACGAATATGACCGGTCTTCTTTGTTGCAGACGGACCTCTGGCAGAACGCGGAGCTCGCGGAGGACGAGGCGCTCGCGGGTCTCTGGCACTTCCTCGCCCTCAGCAAGTCACTCGTAGAAGATGGTATTGTGTATTATACCTTGTTTAAAAATTTGTTTGTCTTTGACAGTACAGCTGAGCCGTCTGACTTACGATCCTTTGCGTTATATGGTGTAGGTTGTATCCGCAACAGTCCGTGGAAGCACCCGGGTGTGCGCACAGTGCTTCCGCGCACCGCTCCCGGAGCAGCGCCCTGCGACGGCACCTACAGGTCGGAGGCGGTGCCTTCGCTGCTACCTGACATGCCCAACAGAAAAATTGTCGTCTACCGCAGCCCAGAAAGGACGCGCGCCCTTCAGCTGTGCGGCTGGGGCTGGGGATGGGAGAACGCGGGAGCCGGCGTTGAGCGAGCCGAAGCGGAGGGCACGCCGTGTCGAGCCGCCGCCCTCGCCGCCTTCCACCTAAGAGCGCGCAACGCGCTCGACGTGCTGGCGCGTGCCCGCGACCCTCGCCTCCGCGTGGCGGCACTCGCCCTCGTGCCGGCTCCCTCCGCTCCCGACGAGCGTCTGTGGCGCGACGCGTTGCACGCGGCGGCGCCTGCCTTGCCGGACCCGTACCTACGAGCGCTCCTGCACTTCCTGGCGGCCGCGTCGCACCACCACCATCCTGACTTCTCCGCAGTGCTGGTGAGCGTTTCGCTTTTTAACATCTCTATCGTTTTTATGCCCGCTCATTGCAGTGCGAATGATTGCCGACGTGTCGCAGAACGAGACGGAGATGCGACTGGAGGACCGCGTCGCGTTCGCCTGCATTTACCTCTCGGACGCCAAACTGCATGATTATATCCAAAGTGTGCACCTGGCGCTGCACGAGCGGGGCGATCTGGCTGGAGTCCTGCTCACGGGGATCAGCCCGGAGGGCGTGGCCTTGCTTCAGCGTTGGGTGGAGGCGTGCGGCGACGTGCAGTCGGCGGCGCTGGTCGCGGCGAGGTGCTGCCCGCCGGAGTTGGTGCGCGAGCCGTCGCCGGCGCAATGGATCGACTCGTACCGCTCGCTGCTCGACGGGTGGCAGCTGTGGTGGGCGCGCTGCGCTTTAGACACGTGGCTGTGCTCGGGCACCGGGGCGAACTCCGGCGAGGGCGAGGCGACGCGGCGCGTGGGCGTCGCGTGCACTTACTGCGGAAAGTCGGTGGCCGCCGCACCGTCGGCTCGGCCTAGGCCGGCCTTCGCTCGCCTGCCACCTCCGGCCGCCAAAATGAAGCAGACCTCGTCGTGCCCCAACTGTCGAAAGCCTCTGCCCCGTTGCGGAGTTTGTTCGTTACACTTGGGCACCAGCGCTGTGGGCGGCGGCGCCGTAGGGGGCGCGAACTTCGCCACATGGTTCAGTTGGTGCGTGGCCTGCAGGCACGGCGGACACGCGGCGCATCTGCTGCACTGGTTCAGGTACTTCTTTATGCAACTTGGAAAGTAACTAAGTCTAGTTAATACATTTCAAAATGGATGAACTCACTCGTTTCCACAGCGAGCACACCGAGTGCCCGGTGAGCTCGTGCGCCTGCCGCTGCAGCTCGCTCGACCCGCCAGACCCGCCAGACCGGCCCGAGAAGCCCGACGGAGTCGACGCCTCCGCGCTCGCGTGCACGTGACGGACGCTGACGGTGTGGGAGTTATAAAAAACTGCAGTTCTTTGCGTTTCCAAATATATATATTTAATATATACATTCTCTTAAATAATTCTTCATTTGTTTTCCATCTCAACAATAAAATTCTCAAAGACACAACATTGTTTAAATCTGTTTCTCTTGCGAGGATCGCATCCTCGGCGGAATGTCGGGCTTCGCCCGCCGCGGGGCGGAGTCCGGTCGCCGTACAAAAATAATATACATTTACATAATACGATACAACAATGGCGTTTCGTCGCCGCATATTTTTCTATTATATACATATAAAGCGTCGTTCGACGAGATTCGGTCGAACGAGAACGTGGCGTAGAATATTGCACATCGTTTTACTTTCAACGAATATTTAAACATCTAAATTACACAATATTTCATAAATATATAATAATAGTATATCTCGCTCGAACTTCGACACAATATAGAAAACAGTCGTTAGAATCTTGTATTTACAAAACGGAGACGGAGAGCGCTTCTTTGGTGCGACGAGAGGCTCGCCAAACGCGACCGCCCGTCTGCCGCCCGCGGAGCGGAACGGCGCGTCGGGTTCGTACAAAAATCTTAAAATAGTTTAAAGCTTTCAACTTAAGATTTCGTCTGGAGCGGAATGTAGTAAAGCCGAGAGGCCCCCCGCGCCCCTCACTTCCCCTCGTCCTGCTCCATCGGCTCCTCGGACACGGAGCGCGAGCTCTCCGACCGGCTGCGAACAGAGACACGCATCATTTAGACGAATAATGTTTCGTTTCTTATTATTTGCCAGAACCGAATCGCTTTTATTTCACTACCCGGGGGCATTTCAATAAGTCCCAAACGTTTTTTGTCATTACAATAATCAGCTTAACAATAACTGTACCAAAAGAAAAATTTTACAATCGATTTTACAGTCATTGGAGTAAAAATTCTTCGAAACGTTAGTTAACAAAGTAATCGGCCAAGCAATTTTCGGCGCAAAGGCAAAGATCCTATATTAGAACGTACAATAAGAAACAGTGAAGCGTTGACTTTAGGGTTTAGCCCACCTGAGCGCAAGCGGCTGGGGCTCCGGCGGCGGCTGGTGCATGGAGAGAGTAGCCATGGCCGCGGCCGTGTCGGTCGCGTCGCGCTCCGCCTGCAGCGGAGGCAGCCGAGCGGCGTCCAGCGCGCTCAGCGGCACGAGGGGCGGCGAGCGGGCTAGGCACGGCCAGTGAGGCGCCTGCAGCGCTAGTACGGCCCGTAGGGCGGCCTGGGCGTGCGCTGCCGGCGGCCTCGCCAGCTCGCTCAGGGGAGGCGCCGCGATGCGTTCGCCGAGCAATGCGCGAACGCACTCCTGCGCGCAGTCGCACATCGCGGGCAAGTCGTAGCCGCCCTCGAGGGAGAGTACCACTTTGCCGCCCGCTAGCTGCATAAGCTCGCGCGTCATGTGCGCGAAGCACGCCGCGGACACGTTGTAACCTCCCATGGGCGCCGGGTGACCGCTCGCCGCGTCAAAGCCGCACGACACCAGCACGATCTCGGGGTCGTACTCCTGCGCAAAGAGCAGACTATCAGAGAGAGGTCAGACGACGAAGCGCCGACCGGTTCGCGGGCCGATGCGTACCTTGGCGATCGGCATGACGACCGTACGGAAGGCGGCGAGGTACTCGGCGTCGGCGAGCGGCGGGTGCGAGGGCCACGGCACGTTGACCGTGAACCCGAGGCCGGCGCCGGCTCCGCACTCTCCCGCCGCGCCCGTGCCCGGAAAGAAGTTTCCGTCGTCGTGCCGATGCAGCGACACGTATAGAACGGAAGGGTCCTCGTAGAAGATCTGCTGCGTGCCGTTGCCGTGGTGCACGTCCCAATCGATTATGAGCACTCGCCGTAGGCCGAGGCGCGTGCGCAGCTGTCGCGCCGCCACGGCTACATTGTTGAAGAAGCAGAAGCCCATGGGCTGCGCGCGCTCGGCGTGGTGACCCGGCGGGCGAACCACGGCGAACCCGTTGCGCAGCTCGCCCCGCGCCGTGCGCAACGCTAGGTCGAGGACGGCGCCCGCGGCCAGTCGCGCCGCGGCCGGAGTGTATGCTTCGCTCCACGGCGTGTCCGCGTCCACGCCGAGGCCGCCGCACGAGAGACGCACCAGCCTCAGCGCGTGCGCCGCGTCCCGAGCTCGGCCGCCGTACGCGAGGACGTGCGCCTCGGCGTGCACCGTCTGCAGTTCCTCGAGCGTGGCCTTACGGGCGCGGGTGCGCTCCGCCCTCGCCGCCAGGCCCGTCTCGTAGAGGCGAGCCCACACCGACTGTAGTCGTCCGCCGTGTTCCGGATGCGTCGGGGCGTGCGCGCCGCAGCTGCAACTAATTCGAACACGAATACTCTCAATAATAGTTTACTCATTATAAGTTACGGAGATAAGAATTTACTAATTATATGAATTTTTAACTTAGTATAAATTTTATCATAAATACCCGTGTTTGAGCATCAGGGGGTCGTAGGCGAGGCCGGTGGGAGGCGGGCGCGCCCCGACTAGCGGCGAGGATAACGCCCGGGCCAGAGGTGCTGCGCCGGGTGCGGGAGCGGGCGCGGGCGTTGGGGCCGGCGGGCGCCGCGCCGTCAAGTCGATCACTTCGCCCTCCTCCTCGCGCAATTGAGCCGCGGCCGCGTCGTGCGCCCGCGTCAGCACCGTCTTCCGAATCTGGTCGCGCAAGTAGTGGTGAGCAGTCGGTGGATGCAGCGCTGGGTCGCCAAGAGGCAGCGGCGCCGAATGCGTGCGCCCCAGTGGGCGCTTGCCGAGGCGGGCCGCTATGCCGCCGGCGCAGTACGGCTCCGACTCGCACACCGGAGGCAGCGCTGCGGGCGTCGGCGGCGGAGGGACGTGGTGACGCGCAGGCGCGTGTAGACCCGGGTGAGGCACGTGAGGTCGCCCCAGAGATATATTCGGGAGCGAGGGGGAGGAGAAGAGCGGTTCCGGGGATCGGCCGCTGGTCTCCTCCTCTTCCCGGATGGGCGTCGTGGAGCCCACTCCCGTCGCGCTCGTTCCGCCCGGCGGGGATCCGCGAGGCGAGTTACCGTCGCAATCTGTTCGTGAGAAACAAACGTGAACGACGAATCGAAAGCGCGATCGTGAAGCGGCCGAGAGGCGTACTCACTGCGTGGCTTGTGTCGCGTCTTGAGGGGGCGGCGCGCGAGGGGCGAAGCGCGGCGCTCGATGACGCGCGCCTTCAGACGCACCTTCAGCATGTTCGGCTCGGACGCTACACACACATGCGGTTACTGGCCACTAGCGCTACGCACACACGCACGCTACTATGCGAGTATTACGCGTTCGGATCATGCTTTGGGCTAACACTTAAATAAACTTTCGTTTACATTAGTCGAGTGACAATAATTGCAAAGTTAGTGGAACACGCTTCGAACGACAATCTACTGCCGCTAGCCTACGGCGGAATATAGGGGCACTGACCGGTCTTGCGCAGCGGGTAGTCGGAAGGCGTGGGCGGCGTGTGGGGCGCGTGCGGCGCGTGGGGCGAGTGCGTCGCGTTGAGTGCGAGGGGCAGCGGCGCCGCCAGCCTGTAGGGGTGCGCGCCCGCCACGGCGCTCGCCGACGTTATCGACTCGCCCGAAGACGACTTCACGATGCCCCTGCGACGAAGGAGTCGGTGTGAGCGGGAGCGGACACGACGGGAGGAGGACGCCTGAAAGAGGCGCGGGACTCACCAATTCCTATAAGGCGATCCGGGCACGGTGCCGTTGGCGTTGGCGGCGGCCTGTTTCTTCTTCAAGAATTCCTGAAACCAAAAAATTATTTATTATTATTAAAATTATTCCGTCAACAGACATCCTCCCCTCGGCTCTCGCGATAGTCACCTGTAGCTTTTGCTTGACTTGCGTGGATGCGCTGGCGCAGTGCTCGTGTTTGTCCTTCTTGCGCAGCGACTCGACGCGGTCGCGCTCGTGTCTCTCCCTCGCCTCGCGCGCCTCGCGGGCCTCGCGAGCCTCGCGCAAAGCCGCCTCCTCCATGGCTTTCTGTTGCTCCCATAACTGAAATTTTACGAGGGCACGGTTACGGTACGGACCCACGGACGATCGAACCGATCCGTCGGTCTCGTTAGCGCACCTTGAGGTGGTGTATTATCTGTTGCTCGTGCTGTTCGGCGAGCTGTTGCCTCTGCTGCTGGAAGTGCTGCAACAAGATCTCTTGCTGTAACTGTTGCTGCTTCTTCAGCTGGAACGCAAACGATGCGCATAAAGTGCCAAATGCAGTGCTCACTTCGCGTCAAGGCGTCGTCAGTCGTTAGATTAAGATTAGAAAAGCACGACAAGCGAGCGGGGTCCGCTTCGGCGCGAACGTTTCCTCCGGCTCGGGCGGAAACGGTCGCGCTCCGCGAGCGGGCCCCGCGCCGCAGACGTAAACACTCACTTGCAGCAGGAAACTATTCTCTAAGGTTTGTTTGGCTCTCTCCGCGATATGGCTCTTTCTCGGACTCTGACAACGAGAGGAAACACAATATCATCTTAACGTTATGGCTAGATATTAAGCGACGCTTCGAAAGAACCGAACGGGCGAAGCGCGTCTACCGTAAATATAGCTCGCGCAGGCGAGCGACCGTTTCTGTTATTCGTTTCGGATAAATTTAACATTCTCCGGAATTTTTATAAATACAACGCTAAAACGAGAAACACTCCCCCCGCTTCCGGCGGCGGGAGGTCAAGGGAAACGGCGGAGGACGCCGATCGGAGAGGAGTGGCTACCTGCACGATCTGGTGGTGGAAAGCGTCGTCCGGCGGCAGCGGGCTCGGCGACGGGGAGCGCGCCGCGCCCGGCGAGCCTTCGCCTTCCCGGGACATCTCTGAAACGAACATGGCACTCTTTACTCATTGCGCATTCGCCACCGCGGAGTCGAATGTGACCTGAATCGCGGGGACTAGCTTCGGGGTGGCGCGGGGGCGGGGTCCTCGCAGGTTATATTTAGAGGGGTTAAATTTAGCGGACGGACCGGCCGGATCGTTTCGCCTCCGTCGTCGTCGAAGCGAAAGGATGCCGCCCCTTCGCGACGGCCACCGCTTTCGTACTCGAAAGGAGGCTAACAATGCAGCTATAAATAACGCCTTAACTTGACGATCGAAGTCCAACGCGAGGCTAAAAATAGTTTTCCTTAAGGCACAGACTGTGTTTGCGTTCGATATTTACATTGACGCGTAGTCTCGAATTAACGCGTAATTGCTGGAGACTGCATTGTCCCAATAAAACGGCGTTCACCTGCGACTACGACATCCCTCATTGCGCGCGAGCGTTTGCCGAACGCACGCGAACAAAGCTCGCCTCCGCCTTATGAAAATAAAGTGTAACAAGTGAAGGACGGGCCGTCTTTCGCCGTCCCGCTCCGACCGTCGGAGTCCACATGGGCGGAAGAGAGACGGCAATAACGCGGACGGCTAAAAATAGACAGGCGTGCCTCCGCGTTTTGAGATCGCGAAAACACGGCAATAATAATAGGCGGGCGGCTTTGTTGTTGCGCGTTCCCGCCTCGGACCCTTCCAGCACAGGCTGCAACCTGCAACCGCCGGTGGAGGCGAGGGAGCTATTTCTGTCAGAACGTTTATTTCACGATGCGCGCTATTTTCAGTCGGCTAATTGTAGACTGACGCCGTGACGCGCACGCGACTCGCTCCTTCGTCGCTGATATAACTTTTCATATTATATAGTTGCATATCTGGCTTATTTTTACAAAGATTAACCGAAAGCCTTTGAGAAATCGCAAAAGACTCCATGACACAAATCGAGTTTAGTGTAGTGGAACTACGTGTCAAGAATATGGCGGTGGAGCGACTCATTGCTGAACTACACGCTATAGCTTCATTGCTCGTTATGCACGAGGTGGACCACAACCTCGTAGATGTCGCGTAGAAAGCGCGGAAAACACAATTAATAAAACAATAATAGCAAAACACAACAGGTGAATTAATTGTTTCATCATCGCATTACACTATGAACAGCTACTACAGGGGGTCGTGTCGGCGAGCACAGTTTTCGTACGCCGGGCAGTAGGCGTTGCCAAAAAAAACAAAAAGATAAGTGACGCCTTAGCGTGCTCGTCTGAATTTGAACTAATTAAGGATTACGCACTTCTAACAGCCATGCGAAGGCTTGGTAAACTACAATTCAGTATTATCATTTTTTTAAATCAAACCATTTGTTTACACACGAAAATATAAAAAAAAGACCCACGAAGCTTAGATCAAAATTTAGGCGATGCTTTTTTCAATATAGAAACTTTTACGACAAAAACAATTCGCAGTCGTGGTGGTAATTTGCTTTTCAAACCTAAGTAAGTCTTTCCAAAAATTGTTTTAAGAGCTGTGTGGTTCCGTGCCCATTAACATGTACTTGGTTTTCTTGGCGTTTAGTTCGGGTGCATCGCTGTTGAAAATGCGAAACGAAGAAATACGTTGTGGATCAGTTAGTTAGATCTACGTTGAGAGGAGTGGAGAGGTCCCAGAATCGATGCATCGATAGACTTTCGAGGAAAGCTTAAAAGTATAAAACACCAGGATGCTACCAATAGAACCCAAGTAACGGGAGGACGACGTTTATTTTTCTACTTGTATAGCTTTTTAAAGACGTATCTTTTGGAAAAAGCTATTTTGACGGTGAAAGGCTGTAACCGAAACCTTTAAAAAGAATTTGATTAAGAGTGAAATAAAATATTAAAATATTCTAACTTTTTATTAAAACGTGCTACGTCTTTACTTCTTCCACTTAAATTAATTTTTTAATACGTCCCAAGAAACCGGTGTTTTCCCTTTAAAGTGAAAGTTTGCTCGTGTAATACCGATTCATAAAAAAGGAGATTTGAACAATGTGTCTAACTATAAACCAATTTCCATACTTAATACGTTCTCAAAACTGTTTGAATCATTAATTTGTCCTGTATTATCAATGCATTGTAGGTTCCTATTAAATGAAAAATCAGCATGGCTTTTAAGCTAAAAGAAGCATTGATACTAACCTCTTTGAGCATGTCGAGAATTTGGCTAATGAAGTAGATAAGCGTCATCAAGTAGACTATATATACCTATACAGACTTTTCGAATGCCTTCGATAAAGTCAGTCACAAAATAATAATTGATAAACTCAATTTCTATTTTGGGATTGGCGGAGAGGTGCTTAAGTGGTTTACTTCATATATTTCCGACAGAACTCAGTTCGTGTCGATTAACGGCTCCGATTCATCATGCTTTGTTGCTTCCTCGGGAGTTCCTCAGGGCTCTCATCTTGGTCCGATTCTTTTCACGACTTTTCAAAACACAGTACTTTTTTATTGTATGCTGATGACATGAAGTTATATAAAGTCATTCACAATACAGAAGATGTTGCCTTGCTGCAAAGCGATATCTCGAGTGTTAATACATGGTGTGCTTTAAATAAAATGGTCCTTAACGCATCAAAATGTTATCACATAATTTTCACCAAGAAAAAACAACCAATTCGCTCTACTTATGTCGTTGGAAGTAGGCAGCTTGAAGTCGTGACGGAGATGAGAGATCTAAGAATAACACTTCACAGCAAGCTTACTTTTATACCGCACATTAATAACATTATCGATAAGGCAGCTCGCATGTCCGGTTTTATAAAAAGATCTACAAAATGTTTTAAAAAACCTCAGTCAAAAATAATAATATTTAACTCTTTAGTTCGTAGCATACTGGAATTTAGAAGCGTTGTTTGAAACCCACAGTACTCTTGTCATGTAACCCGCATTGAATGTATTAACCACCGTTTCACCAAACATCTTTGCTTCATGACCAGAGACATTAGTTTAAGAGTCAATTACGAAACCAGGTTACAGCACTTTAAACTTAATAAGTTATCCGATAGACGACGAATTATTGACCTCTTATTTCTTTTCAAAATTTTAAATAATAAGATTGATGCCCCGAATATATTAAGTAAAATCCAGTTTAATGTCCCAAGAAAAAGTTCAAGACTGAAACACAAAAGTATTAATCTTCATACACCAAAAAGTAACGTAGGTAGAAACCGTCCATTGTACCGTGTATGTGAGACCCTTAATAATGTTACGCGAGAAATCGACGCTGATCCTTACTTTGATTCTTTTACTCGAATACTGTCTATAGTTTGCGCGAGTAGTACACATTTAAATAAAACACTTTAACCGTTTAAAACGCGATATATTCGATGCTTTGCAGCTGCCGTGGTCACGGGGAGACTGCAAAGCATCCGGAACGTCGGGCCGAAATCTTTTACTCGATTTAAAAATAAAGTATTGCGACTATAGACACTTTATTATAATTACATTCGAATTCTGTACTCTAAATATTTCGAAACACTAATATTTAAGTTAACAATGCTGTGTACATCAGTAATTGAGTCCTACATAGGTATTTTAACTTATTGTGATGTTAAGTATAATGAATTACATGTAAGTGATCTGTTGATGTACCATAATAAATAAATAAATAAATAAAATATGCCATTTAGGTACTTCACGTTTTCCAGAGCCAGAGTTTATCAGTGCTCTTTGAGTTCAACAAGTCGATTATTTGGATAAGGATATAAACAGAAATCTGAAAAGAGGGTCTTTTTTGCACGACTTTTCTAACAACTTATGAAATCGTCGTTAGTGTGTTTAATGTTAGTCGGTTACTGTGACAAAACGACATAAGCTATAAGACATATGGTGACGCGAAGTTCTTTGTATTTTTAGTCTGACACGTCACACGGGTAGTATTTCAGCAGTGTATGTGGCGAAACCTGTTTTATGACATTTTTTTTTTAACCTCGGGCGACGGTGCACAAGTTTAAGTGAGGATCTCTAATCTTTTCTCGCAATGTACAAACATTCACCTGCGAACGTTTTAATCCACCTCTTTACAATGTTCCAGACCGGAGACCAGAGGCGCGTGCGCCGGCGCAACTACTACGACGGCCTAGAGATTTCACACGCTCGCATGAACTGAATGACTGTACTCGCATGCAATAGTTAAGAGTGAACATTCTGAATGTATGAAAATATAACATTCTACAACGCACTAGGAGTGGCCTATCTTTCCGAATAATTATCAAGCTTTATTCATCGCGATATGCAACTGTTTATTGCATGATTTGTAAATATAATTTAAGTTTCAGTCGGCAGCGCGGGTGGGACAATAATTCGGTCGCAACTCGCAACCGTGCCGCACGATTAAACCGGGTGTTCCGAGCGGCGTGTATGTGGTACGCGCGAAGGCCGCGTCGTGTTATGTCACGCGCTCTATTTTCATTCGCACGGGAATGGCATTTCCGCGGAACTGTTTCCAATCGCGCGAAGGGGCCGATATCGCTTCCGGCGAGGCCGTCGCTCTTCCGTTCATCTTATCGCCCGTGCACAAATTAACTGCCCGTGGGTGGTTTTCCACCCGGAGCGAGATCTCTTCGACGTCGACGAGACGAGCGCGTCTACGATATGCAACGACGCGCGCGACTCATAACTTTTCCATAACGATAGTAAAATTCGTATGCACGCGATTCTTGATTCTGGCTGGCGTCCAGTCGGACTCGAGCGTCGTTTGGCCAAATGTAATAATATCTATTAATAGACGGCGCGGGCCTCTCCCTTTATAGCCGAACCGGAATAGATCGACGGATCCGAATAGGAGATCCTCGCGAGATTATAAATAGCCACAATTATGAGCGATCCGCTCCGCCGAGGACGGACGGCGGCGCGGGCGGATCGGATCGCACATGAGTCGTCCCGTGTCCATCAGGCGTTTCCGCGTCGATCGGACGATGCGCCCCGGTTCGGAGCGGGTCGAACCGGCGGGAGTCGACGACGAGTTCGCTCGAGCGCGATACGGCACGGCGAAAAAGCGGCCTTCCGCTTCCAAGAAAACGCAACGGTTTCGAGCGGCCCCGTTTCGGTCACGAGACACTAGGCGAGGTCGCTTCTTTCGCTAGCCGGAAGCTCGAAAAAAAGCGGATGGATCGGTCCATTGTGACGCTGCAGCTATCTACCGAAAAGAAACAGTTTGACTTCGAATGTACAAAGTGCGAGTTCCAAAAGGACGAAAAAGTTTGTTTTCATCATTTTCTGACGCATTGAAGCTTTTTGCCGTCGTCGGTTCGCGCTAATTTCCAGTGTAACAGTCAGCTTCGTTTCGACTACGTCACGAATCGAAAGTGTGAGAAATAAAAAGTTAACAGAGACCGATCGACCTTCCGGCGCGTTCGATATTGCAACGGGTGACATCATGGCTGACGAGAATATTTTCCCACAGCGCGACATTCGCGGACACTGACCTAATAGCCCGCTTTGCGTTTCCGAGAGCGAAAAGCATCGGGCGAGACCAGCTCGCGTGAGCTTGGAGCCCTTCAAAAATTCTACTTTTTAAATAATGACAGACATAGAGATCAAAACTAACCCAGTTCCACGTGACCTATAAAGTTCAAATTTAAATACAGACAGTACACATTTAAATAAAATACTTTAACCTTTGCAGCAGCCGTGATAACGGGGAGACGAAGCGTTTTAAGGAACGAGGAAAGCATCCGGGCTGAAGTTAAAAATAATTTTCAAATAAGCTTAACTACTAAAATAAAATATACTTTATCCTTACTAATATTATAAATGCGAAAGTAACTCTGTCTGTCTGTTACTCTATCACGCCAAAACAACTGAACGGATTTGAATGAAATTTGGTACACATACGGTCTAGACTGAGAAAGGACATAGACAAAGCATACTTTTTTTTGCGAAAAGGGTGTTGTAAGGGTGAGTGAGGGAGGGTGAGTTTGTATGGAAATTCGTGGTTCTTGAAGCTAGAACAATGAAACTTTCTGGAATTAAACCAATGGAGTGGGAGTGGGGGGGGGCTGGGTTGGAAGTGGGAGAGAGAGTAGGAGTGATGCGAGGTGAGAGTGTTGCGGCAAAGTAGCACTTACAACATAGATTGGCTGCGATAAATGCGCAATTACATAAATTAATAAACAGCCTAAATAAAAATTCTATCCCAAGTCACTATTCCACGTGAACGAAGTCGCGGGCACAGCTAGATCTCTATAAAATTATTGAATAACTCCTTCGGGGTTTATCTAGGTTTAATTAAACGACAAAACGACAAACCCAATTACGGGTTGCTTATTATGTTTTTTCTTCTTTTAGATTCCCAAAAAATATAATAATATGTAATATGTTTGTCTGTCCGTTTGTCGTGATTCTATAGTGTTGAAAAGAGCAACATAACCGAGAATAACATCCAAAAAACTCAGTCTGGCTTTTTTCAACATGTCTTATAAACTAATACATTTTTGTGAATTTAATGACCTGATGAGCAATTCATATTGGAGACAGCCTTGTCATTTAAATTTTCATTAAAGAAATCTTTTAAACAATAAAAGGCATTTTGAGACAATCTAAATTTTATGACTTTTGAACTTAAACGTAAATTTGAAACCTTAACGGCCAATGTATTATTATAAACATACGAATACAATTCCCCGCAAATTAATATTTTATGGAGCATATATTTGGGGATAGCTATCCCCACCTAGCTAGGTTATCCTTATTTCGTAAGTTCAAATAATGCCTATCAATATTGTTGAACTTGCTTTTATTCTTACGGGCATACGAATGATTTTCATAAATAGACTGCGAGTACACAGTAAGATATTTTTAAAGGTACTTAATGACTTCCGAGATCCCGTACCGCCCTGTTTGCAACACAAAGATAAATTCAATGTCGGCGGTAAATTGATGTCTGTTAATTATTTGATCTTTTTTAAGGTTATGCTCAGAAAGACAGTTTCATTGACCAATTCTATCTCGTCGTCTTTAATCTCAACACTGGTTTTAGCTAACCCAACATTAGGTAAAGTGATACATTTGATTTTGTTTACGTTTTAAAACTGTTAAACTGGCCGGTTCAGACGGAAATTAAAGAAAATAACACAAAAAGACGAGATTATACCTCGAGTTTCAAACCTAGGAAGACAGTGGATTAAAATTATTCAAAATGTAATACATATAAAAAACAGACGATCTGACATGGCTAAACGAATTATTACGTTCGATGGCTAGCAAGTCAAGTTTAAGCATAACGGATTCAGAACTTACGATGGCTGTACGTCGTAGACACAGAGAAGGGTTTTATTTATAATTCAATAATTCAGTCAATGTTTATTAGCAACTAGCGGCCCTGTCCCGGCTTCGCACGGGTAGATATAAATAAGTACAAATATTTAAATTATAAGCATGCTAATTAAAACGACCATGAGTAGTAAGAATTAGAATAGATGCCTATAGTAATCAAGTACTAAATTTAGCCTATGTTACTCAGTGATAATGTAGCTTTCTAATGAAAAAAGAATTATCAAAATCGGTCGAGTACTTTTTGAGTTTATCCGTTACATACAAAAATACAAATCTTTCCTCTTTATAATATTAGTATAGATTGAATCAGTTCAACACACTTTCAAGCTCTCGGGCGTACTCAATCACTATAATTGATGCAAAATTATAAAGTTAACATTTAAATGAGGAAAAGATGGAATTAAAAAAAAGTTGAGGAAGGTTGTGTAATCCTTACTAATATTATAAATGCGAAAGTAACTCTGTCTGTCGGTCTATCTGGTACTCTTTCACGCCAAAACTACTGAACGGATTTGAATAAAATTTGGTACACATATGGTTTAGACCCTGAGAAAGAATATAGGCTGAGAAATAATAAAAATATTATTGCGAAAAGAGGCTTGTAAGGGGTTAAAACGGGGGGTAAAAGTTTGTATGGAAATTCGTGGTTTTTGAAGCTAGAACAATTAAACTTTCTTCATTGACTTTTTGGGAATAGGAGTGGGGGTGGGAGTGGGGGTGGGAGTTAGAGTAGAAGTGATGTGAGATGAGTGTTGCGGCAAAGTAACACTTACAACATAGATTGGCTGCGATAAATACATTGCGCATTACATAAATTAATAAACAGCCTAAATAATTAAAAATTCTACCCCAAGTCACTATTCCACGCGAACGAAGTCGCGGGCACAGCTAGTTATGCAAATAAAGGTATGAGTGATTTTGGCAAAAGAAAAGAAAAAAACATTATATGGTTTAGGGCAGGAGTCTCGTTTATTATTTGTTTGTTTTCCCGATAATTGCGTTGGTAAAAAGGGGACATTTTTAATAAATTAGCTATCTAAAATCGTTAGATTAGATACGTATTCATAGAGTAACGATAAATACTTATAGGTAAGTAGGTTTAAATATACCTAGTTTAGGGTGCGTTTTATTTCTCTTCAAGACTGGGCCTTTGTAACTATTGTTTTTAAATATTTCCACCTAGCATAACTCAAGTCACGGTCGCGATTCCACGATTCTTCTTATAGAGCATATCGTTTCTTATCTGCGATATGGATTTATTTTTCGGCGATCCGTTAATGCTTTGGACTCAGTCTAAAATCGGCTGCAATCGCTCGATTGATCGTCGCGCGAGAACATCGGCGCAATAAGCAGAAGGTTCGGAGCGAGTGTGAGATAAAGGATATAAATAGCTCGCTTTATCCGCCTCGCTGACGTCAAACGACTTCGCGTAGCGGAGCCGACCGATATTATTTTTATGCATTTGTTTACAAAGTTATCTCCGGAGTTAGAGCACATTTCGTATCCGCGAGCGCCAACGGTCTCAGTCGCGACCTCGTCGCGGCCGAATTTCGACGTACGCCGTGCGCGTCGGCACGCAGAGACTCCGGCGCCGTCGAAGACGAGGTCCGCTCGGCCTCGGACTCACCTAAATTGATGACATACATAGCCCGGGAGCGCTCCAGCCGAGGCGCGGTACAGGCCGGAATCCACTTTCGCCACTTAACAAACGGTAGCACAAACAATGAACACTTCGGCGGAAACTAACATCACACGGCGACGCTACACAAGCGAACTGTCGAACTACACGAGCTAAATGGGCGCGCGCTTCACACGTCTAGCGCGCTCCGCGTGCCGTCGAAGACTAAGCGCGCGCGAGGGGCGCAGGGGCGCAGAGCCGACCGGGCGGCGGTCCGGCGCAGGCGCACGCGCCGTATTCTCTTATCAATGAGTGACGAAAGGTGAACGGAAACTCAACTCTCATAAGAGATCCTACGGCCATCTCATTGTCCTAGGCGGATCGCCTAGATCAGGTCGACCGGACGCCGTTATTACCTCGCCTTCGCTCGATAAAGAAACGCGGAAGGCGACGTATTCGTGCGACCTCGACTTTGAAGTCGTAGTTAATTCGGTAACATCCGCGACTCGGGCGCGCACGTCACCTTCTTTGTTCGGCCCGTTTACCTGATATTACATCGACTAATCGAAACACATGGTGAATCAGCTCCGCGGACGGATGTCGACGACGGGTTCCGACGACGGAGATATCTTAGGGTCCGTTTCGAGGTGTCGGACGGCCGGTGACATCAGCGCCGACCGCCGGGCAGTGAATCAGGTGGGGAAAGCCGCGGGATGCGTCAATCGCCGAATGCGAGAGCGCCCACTCCGATCGAAGGGACGCGACGTGGAAACGGTTCTTATGTCGCCTTCAGACAGCCGAGCTTATTACAATTTAAAATTAATTAAATGACCTTCAGCAAACACCACGTGTAGCGGCTATGTTAGCTCAAATGGCGCGTTTCGTAGTGGCGCGATGAGGTGTTGATTCCTTTTAATGTCATAATTTCAACCAAAGTTATCCTACAAAGTCGGATAGTGTTTAGTCGGTTATAATCTATAGTAATATGTAAAGCTGAAGAGTTGGTTTGTTTGAACGCGCTGATCTCTGAAACTACTGGTTGGAATTTAAAAAATAATTTTTGTGTCGCTTAGAGCAACATAGGAACAAAGATATGTGAATATGTGAAATACGGGGAAAATTATTCATCCTTATGGGTTTCCGTTGCTCTCGCTACGAAAACGGTTCAAGATACCCGAAGCATATGTCTGTAAGACTGATTCCATTTAAAGATTCTGAAAACATGTCCGGGATTATGACATTATAGGTCTATCTTTTAAGATTAACTTGCAAGAACTACGGGACGCGAAGTTTCGGGTACCAGAGACTGTTATTTATAACAGTTAACCAAACCGAATGCGTGCTGTAGATGTAGTGCAACTGATTTATTTCCTGTCAATGTTGTTTTAATATAATTTACAAAAAGTGGGAAAGTACATTTGCTTCTAATATAAACACTTGAGTGAGCACAATGTTGACTTAGATTTAGATTTATGCTAGCTATGCTATAAAATAATACCATAATAAATATGGTACGACGTCGCAGGTAACAGCTGTGATTTATAAAGATATGGACTAGGTTTGCAAAAACAGATTTTGATGCCCAAAATATCTATTCTACGCGGTCAAAGTCGCTGACACGTTCATCAGTTCAGTTCACATCAGTTCATGTCAAGCCCCTGAATTAGATTCCTATGAAGTTAACAATTGGGTTCTTACAACCCGATTACGCAATCTATCGTATTCCGTATTAATATCGTAAGCTGTCGTCGGCGGAGGGGCGATCATAACATTCACTAATCACTACGTACACAACTTAACTAAACGTACATACGCGGTCGCTAAATCGATCCCTTCCTTTTGTCTTCGTCCTCCGTCCTCTGCCGCAAGTTTACTACGTTATTGTAATATAGTTATTTGGCATTTCCACGAAGTCCGAGAGGCCCCGTTACTCTCGAGCGTGACGTGCGCGCCTCCCGGCGGCCGGCTCCCGCCTGCGGAACTTCGAACGGGCCGGCGCTGCCGAGGGTTGGGGTGCCGAGTGCGGGTCGAAGCTATTTTTAGACGCGAGACCTCTCCGGCGAGTCGTCATCGCCCGCTCATACGGAACACGGCCGGCGCAAATGTGCCCCAAGAAAAGGCCCCAGGCCGGCGCGAGCGAGGCTGAATCGCGGAGGCCCGAGACGCGATCGCGTAGGCGTGTGTTGACAAACTCTGTTGCTACGTCTATTTCGGGACGCACCCACGCCTCGTCCCGAGGGGGTGCGGGCCCTCCGCTAGGGGGCGCCCTTGACCTCCGTTCCTAAACGACGACAATCACGCCGACCGACCGTCGTCGGCCGCGTTTATCTTTACCGGCACCGGGCGCATCTTCAAAGTGAAACTCCTCTCGCGATGGTCCGAACCGTCTCGCCACTCGCAGCTCTAACCCATAGGAAGCTAAACGCGATGTGGTGCTTAGCGATTCCCTCCACGTGTACGAGGGTCAAGGACGGGGGGCGGAGGGCGAGTCCAGGGCGTCGAGGACGCGAGCGCAATGAGGCTGCTGCTATTTATAAGTAATCGATATCGCCGCGCGACCGTGCCCTTGCCGACATCGATCGGCCGCGATTCCTCGTAACGAGCCCCCGTCGGTCCCACCCCTGGGACTCGCAACGGAGAATCGGTCGCCGACACATTCTCTTCACTATACGCGATAACGCGATAGTTCTTAATGATTCCATTTTCACATGTCTTGTCTGCATATTTCCAAGGTTGATTTTTGAGGTTATTCTTTGTACTATAGTATTTAAGGTGTGTAAAAATTATAGCATAGTGCCGTAGACACACATTTTTTTACGATTTGTGATCTAATCATATACACTTATTTCATTTCATTAATAATTATATGATAATGGAAGTTATATTGCAGGGCAATCTACTTAAAACAAAATTAGTTTATTCAACTGTGTGTCTGTCTAAATCTTTCTATTAACATATTTCAATCAAAATAATATCCAATCTCATAAAGACTTAAATAAATTTATTTATTTATCATTTTTTTGTTGCACCCAGAAAGCTAAAGTAAAGGAAATAAATTTAATTTAGTTTGACAATATTTAGATTAGACCACTAAATATTGTCAAACTAAACTAAATTAAATTTATTATTCTTGATGCAACAGACAAGAAATCTAAAGATGTCAACTGTATATAGATTCTATTGATGGCTATTCATATGGCTTAGGAAATAAAAACTTACTTAGCTTTCATTAAAAAACTTCCTGATGGCATCAGACAAAAGTAATATAGCTGCGTACATAAGCCCGTAATAGACAAACTAGGGACATAACAACAGTTCAAAGAAAATTAAACTAATATTCAGTGCCTACTATTGTATGGTAAATGGCAACATTTTTGTCTGTTTTACATTTTTATGTAAATCATTGTATAAGATATTAGGTCTCAAAGTCAAAAATATTCATATTAAAACTGTGAAACCTACCTTTAATTTGTGGTGGGCCAGCGTTATCTGCCATTGTCCAAATAATATCTGAAAAATATAAAATATAACTTAGATATATGATGATAATTTACATACAAATATAATTTCTTCCATTAACAGTTTTAACAAGTAGTGGTAAACTTTATTATGCCACATGCTAAAGATACAAACATGGAATGACCTAGGAAATAAAATAATCAGTATAGATATTAATTTAGCAACAACATACAACCTGAATTGTTAGGCATTTTTCAAATAAATTTCAGCAAAAAAAGTTGATCGAGTTTGACTTGTTGGACAGTGAAACCCGCTTTGTGAGATGTAAGTAAACAAGATTCCCGTCGTATCCTTATCGTGTGCCTGCTGTCAACATGTTACCAAATTCCATTTTACCATATTCAAATAGGACGAAGGTCATACATTGTTTTCGAGTTAATTAGCCATCACACTTACTAATAATACGTAAAATAATTGTCACACGCTTGTCTATGGGACGTAGGGCGCCGATAAATATTCCAAAAGGCTAAATAGAGAAGTCAAAACTACTAACCCGTTATGAGCCAGCTGGGCGACGTACTCGGGACCTCTACTTCGTCATACCTAAACGAGCTACGACAAATTTCAATCGGCCTTTAACACTAAACACCTTTACATTTTCAATATTTTTATATCTGTATGTCCACAAACACTCGGTTTGAGAAACGGCGAGCAAGAATAACTTTAATTTGGTTACACTTTCAACGAAAACATATATTGCCTAAGTACTCGCTCTGGGTGTAACAATTATTGCTCAATACCACATCTCAATAGATAATATTTAAACATTTGAACCAGAGTTTTGATTAATAATATAATCTGGATGTTTGAGTATAATATACGTACATCTACGTAAGTACGTAGCTTAAATTTTACATTTGGGAAAATACAAGTAAACCACAGACTAACTTAGACGTGACACAATCGTAGTACAGATATACCGACCGACCATAAGCAACTGGTAAGCAAAGTCACAAACATTTACATGACACAACTACATCAAATTCACAATTTCAAGGTAAAATTAATAAAAGTGATTTTACGCAAATATACAAAAATTTTTTTTTTTATTTAGATATTTACATAAGGATGGCATGTAATCAAAGTCAACGACAATAAAAGATATACGTTCCACTCATGCTTGATCGCTGAAAACCATTAGAAACGTCGAGTTAAATAATGATATAAAAATTAAGACATAAAAAGAAGTCACTTGAATGAAAAAAGTGAGTTTAATTATTGAGGTCGTTTGGTCCATATATAATGGATATTTCTTAAACCTTGTTTCATCTGTGGAAATGACTACAATCTATAAAAGGGCATCACTAGTACTCTATGGTTAAAAATCTATTTGTTGATTTTGCCTTCCGAGTATTGTCGGTCAAAATAGTCAATTTTTACTATAACAATAAAATAATTATTAATAATCATATGAATATTAAATGATACGTTTTATGCTCGATACCAATTAATGGTAACAGATAAATAATTAAAATAAGTCAAAGAATAAAAAATTTGTCCCCCTACTTTACTACGGTTTTTTGTATGTCTCTCAAACAAATTACATAAAACTAAGTATAGGTCGCGGCACGGATGTTTAGCGCTGAACGAAACGTGTTGCGCAACGGTGCGCACACAATTGATTTGAAGAAACTATTAAATATTTATCTGTTATTATAATTGTGACCTTAAAGTAATTTCATTAACTATTTTATAATCATACATGATGCTGAATGATGGGGCTTTTAATATGCAAATAAAAACATTAATCTAATTAATAAATAATTGACATAACGAAATTACTAAATGATTTGAGTGGTCTTATCTTTTAATTAAAAAAAATGTTTTTTTTCTCAATTTTTAAATTATAGTGCCTTCATGTGCAATAACATGTAACAAATAATAAAGTTTTCAAACAAGTAACTTAACAATCAAGGTTTAACAATTTCAATAAAAATTTATATTAACGTAGTTCAAAACTTTACTCGAGAAACTCGCTACTTGAATACTAAGTTTTACGATTGAGCCTAGCCAAGACCAAATCGCACGCTTAGTATTAGAGTGACCTAACTCAAAAATTTTAGTAAAATTAGATAAATGCACTCACATTACTATAATAACGCCATCATCAGTTTTATACGATTTGCCAAAAAAGTGTTTTTTTTTTAATTAGGTCACTGCGTGCGAAATAAGGAATTTCTATTTTTTTGCTTATCGACAGCTAGATTGCTGTGTAATCTGTAGAGAGCCAGATAATACTAATTTGATCAGTGTTAACGTTTGTACCTAATCTGTTTTACTTACATCACTATAATCAGTCACATAATAATAATACACTTTGTATTTCAATAATATTTGTCACTTATTATTCTGAATATACACTAATGGTGAAAAATGTTCACGGCCTTGTTTGGTAAAAGAAGGTCCTCACCGGTGGAGGACGAAACCCCTGCCATTCCCGGTCCAAGAGCAGAAGACGGCTTTGTTGTAGTGGATCCGTTAGCGAGTGGAGGACTCTACCCTAACGTCAGCGGACCAACATATCCTCAGAGGCAGGCTCCGCCAGTTCCACTTCGTAAACACAACACGAGCGACATCACATTTCACTATCTGGAAGGGGTTCCATTCTCTTTATCCAAGGATTTACACATGTCTGCAAATAAAGATGCTTTTGCTTCCGAGATTGGAGACTTTTTAGCCTTCTTAACAAATAAAATCAACTTTGACTCGTGTAATTATGACTTTTCTGTTGAAAAGAGTGTTCTGAAAGAGTATTAAAATTAAATATAAGAGCCTATATATTCAAACCACACATTTGTTTCTTGATTTTTAAGCTCAGAATACCAACAATCTAATGTGTGGTCGTTCTCACAAAGGTGGTTAAATTTTTGTGTAGATGAATTGAGTTTAAGTTTCATAAGATATGAATGTAATAATAATCAGTCAAAAGTTACTGTAAATAAAAACTGTTTACTGCAATGCTAAGTTATTTCCAAAGTAATGATCCCCATCTAAACTAATTTTATAAAGCAGAAAAGTTTTTTGTTTGAATGCTAATGTTGCAACCAATAGGAGCAGAGAAACAGTGGGAAGTAAGAATTATGGTTTCCACTGCTTAAACAGTTCAAGATGCTCAAAATATGTGTATGAAAGAATGACATCCCTATAAATGATCTAAAAAAATGCCTGCGAAGTTGCTGGCACTGTTAGTTACTATGCAAGAGAATATCTGCTTAATTAAAATGCTATCTAGTTCACCAGATACAAGAATGAACAATTTGACGGTTATTCAGAAAAAAACACTTATAGATAAATATATTGTATGTCTATTGGCCATCTTCTCATCAGGCTTATGTACACAACACAATATTGATAGTATGGACACAACAGTGTAGGTATCTTATAGTTATATAGTAGTATCTCGCATATCATATTTTAGCTTTGATCATACTCTCAGTAAACCCCAACCAAACTATAACGGAAGGTTAAAAGGGGAAAAAATGAGGTGGATCATTGGTATCCCCGAAAGAAAATAATAATACCACCACCAAAAAGACACCAAATTAATGTATTTACAAGCTCTTTAGAAATTGTTTTCTTTAAACTGTTTAGTTACACAGTAATTATTTAAATAATCGCTGCAAGTCCACAAATAAATCCAACAATTGCACAGAAAGGCAACCATGTCTTCATGAAGGCTCCAAAACTAAAAAGGAATATTTAGATGTATAAATTGCTGCGTTATACTTATATATCTAACAAAGGAAGAAATGACTATAATAAAAGACCCACCTTACATATTTGGAGTATGGTAACATGTAAAATGCCAGTTTTACCATATTCCAATTTCTGCAGCCACCGTAGCCCATAATATTCAGTGCTGTGGCAACATGTGAGTGGCAATTATCGTAAAAAATTATATGCTAAAACCGAAAGTATAATTTCTTAGGAGCAAGCAATGGTTTTACTAGTTGTAAGGATTATTAGTACCAAACATTTAAAAAAATATATTGATTGATTATCATGTATAGTTTATGTTTAAACACATCTAATAGTTGAGTAAACAAAGTTACCATTCTTTTTTTATAAATTTCAGAGGCCTCTATGACTCCGGCGTCCCACCCTGCCTGGCCATTAACCGCTTTCTGGGGGCTTAATTGCCAATATTTTGTTGGATTTCCAAATGCCATCAAATCTTCTGATACAAAGTAGGGCCCGGCAAAGTCCCGGATCACACCATTCGACATGCAGATGCCCATGTGACCGAGAAATGGAAATAGCCATCTGGAATTAATCCGACGGGTCAAAACGACAGAGTAATTTTTGTATGGCGTGACTTGAATAAATGGTGCTCACGTTAGAACAGGAATTGGAGTCCAGACGACACAATAAGGGTATCTCGCGCGACTGTGGTCGATGGCATCCATCAGAACTATCTGCTCTAGGTCGCTCACCTCTTTTGGACTACCGGGACTTTGATCACCGATCATTTTTTATCTATATACTGAACTAACCATTTCTACTTTTTAGTAGATGTATGCGATCAGTGATTATGATATTTACTAAAGTTTTCTGTTATTTATTTGTATTATAAATCAAGATATCAAATAAATACTGAGATACGATAACAACGTATTACAGGTGCAGATTTTATTTACCTTTTATAATATCTAGTTTTCTAGACATTTCTTATATTTATAAATTTGACAGATTATTGTAAAAAGGTGTATGAACCACAGATAAGAATGACTTGATACTCACTTGTACAACTAGCAAATTGCAACATGTATATTTCGAATGAATTAAAAACTAACCACTTATCATAAAATACTGTCTATAGTTTACGCGAGTAGTACACATTTAAATAAAACACTTTAACGGTTTAAAACGCGATATATTAGTTACACTTATCATAATATAAGCAGCACAGCTTATTTCTCAACAATAACATTACGACCGTTATAAAAACTCATTTGTATAGCACTCAATATTCTAAAGATGATAATATGTCGTTGCCATAGTTGTTAGTTATTACATTATAATTATTAGTCAAAAAGGTAAGAATACAGTTCCTAATCAAAAGCCATTTTTTTTTTATTTCTTTAACTTTATAGTAAAATAACTAACGCTAAAGACAAGCACGATTTGCTTAAAAGGTAACTGGATAGTACAACCCTCGAGCCATCAATGGTACCTACAATAATGATACAGTTACTATTAATTGTATTGTTTAGTAGTCTTAATGATTATGGATTTCTTTTAGTTTTTATATGTAGATCAAGTTATAGAATAATTTATTAATACGTCCTCCCTCCCCCACCCCCTTAAGCTCATTTTGCTTGTAACATTACTTTATTTTTATACCTACCGAATACTATATACTAACGAAAAAGCTCTTTAATATGTTCAGTTTCGAAGTTGAACCATATTTACTGATTTCAACTTCAAAAAGCCTTTCTCGATAAATGGTCTAACCAACACAATTTTTTTAATTTCAACGAGTAGTTCCCGAGATTAGCGCTTTCCCACAAACATACTCTTCAGCTTTATAATATTAGTATAAATAGATATGTACATAATATACACGATAGACATTAATTGTAAACCAAAAATTGTGAGGTGTACATGGCTATAAGGGACGTAGCGAAGGGACGCGAATACTGCGTAGAGCAGGTTGGCCGAGGTCAATTCGGCGATGCGAAAGATAAATGTTCCTCCAGAGTTGCAGAGCACCCGGATTAGGCGCGCCTCTCATCTGTACTTTCTGCCCGCTCTCTATGTGGAGGAAGCGCAGGGAACCGCGTTCGCTCGCCGTCCAGTCCATCCCGCCTGGCAACAAATTGCTGCCCGCGGGCGTGGGTTCTCTGCAATGCCCTGCGTGGTTAATATCTCGTATCTCTAACGGGCTACAAGCGGCTACATTAAGACCAAGACTCACCCGTATTTTGCGAAATTGCTCCACATAGTAGTCAACTGGTCGATGACCATCTGGTCGTCGCGGCTAACCCTAAATGGAAGCACCTTCGCGTTAAACATATAGAAAAGCTCGTCACCGTGGCAGGCGCCCGACTCTGAACCGCGCGCCGATCTAAACTTTAGGAAATTCCTGCCACCGCTGTAATCAAATAGGTAGTTGTAAACGGGAGCTGCGCTTCGGTTTACCAAAAGCTCTGTTTCTATTATGGACGGAATCTCGAAATACAAATGCGTGTACAGGTCCGTGATATTGTCTATCTTGAGCATGCTGATACGATCGGAGCCGAAATAGAATTTCTGTGCCTCGAGGGAAACACGCATTCCGTCCTCTTCGGTGTCGAACTGCAAGTCACTCGCAAAGATGAACTTTCCATTTCGCTCTTCCACGGAGCCGTTGGCAGCCGCCGTGAGGAACATACCCTCTCGGGAATTCGTGCCGTGTATCACCGGAATGCCGATCTGCTTCTTTAATAACGTGTTCCACGGCAGATCATTAAAAACGGGCTCTTCGCCCGGTATCTGTTTTTCTACGCACGGTAAATGAAGCAACTGTGTATCGAAAAACACTTGTTCAGGTTTTCCATGCACGATAGGCACTAAGTCTTTCAATTCGACTTTGCTTAAAAAATTGTAAAGTTCATGTGGATCCTCCGAATGAAATCCGAGCCGGCTCGCAGTGAGACTCGCTACCCAAAGGGGGTTTCTGTTGATGGCCCAGTTAGAGATGGAGCTGCCGCTTTGCAATATGGCACGGCGGAAGAGGCCCTCGGCAGCGGGACTGGACATCAGAATAGATGCAGAAGTAGCACCGGCGCTTTCTCCAAACAGAGTCACGTCGTCAGGGTTTCCACCGAACTCGGCTATGTTGCTCCGGACCCACTTTAATGCCGCAATTTGGTCCTTAAGGCCCGCGTTACCGGGCGCCTCCTTGATGCCTAGGCATATAAAGCCGAGAGCACCCAGTCTATAGTTGAATGTCACTAAAATGACGTGTTTATTCATGAAATAATCCGGACCATAAACGAAGTTGCCGCCGCTGCCGAGTACGAATGCTCCGCCGTGAATGAACACCATGACCGAGAGCGGTCGCTTCGACTCCCTCTTTATGGGGACATACACGTTCAGTTTTAGGCAGTCCTCGTTGCCGACGACGACGCCACTGATAATACTTGTCTGAGGACACACATCGAAGTCGTCGACAGCTTTGAAGATGCCCCTCCACTGCGGCGGCGGGCCAGGAGCCTGTAAATTTTATCAAGTTCTTTTGAGATTAAAACGATTACGTCTATTGAGCATATTCTCGTTTTCGTACGATCTCAAAAGTAGTGTTTGACATTTTCTCTTCATAACTGCATGCAGTTATTATTAGACAACAAACATAAAATATTAAAAACGTTATTACGAAGCGTTGTATATATACCAAACTACTCGATACTAACTACTCAAATGGCTTTCCCGTTAGTGCTATATTTGGGTGTAAAATTAATTATAATATACTATAATGTTAGTCCAAGCATTGTTCGTAAGTATGCAAGTACCTAGTACACATTTAAATAAATACTCTTTACGATTTAAAACGCGAAATGTACTTATTTACTTTGTACATATTATTTTAGCTGCGATGCGATATTTAGGTGAAAACAGGATGAACATTGAGGTTTCTTTTTTGTTATTTATGTCTGTGGAACACATTAATCCGATAGAGATACTATAACGAGTCACGACAATGTTGCGTGTATGCATTACATAATACCTACCTTTGGCCGGGCTAAAGTTAGCGCGGATAACCATCCGCAACTGCACATAACGCAAAGAACAGGTATTAGTTGCGACAAGCACGGGTAGAGAGAGATTCGACTTTTTATTTAAAGTTGACAGTACCGTGCGCAAGATGGCGGTCGCACTAACTTCAGCCCGGCCGAAAAGTTTGTAGAGAACTGTATTATGTTAATTGATGTAAAGAAAAAAAATTGACAAACTTTGACATTGACAAAATATAAACGAAACTAAGAATATGTAGGTATTAGTAGGTAATGCATACACGCAACATTGTCGTGACTCGTTGTAGTATCTCTATCAGTCACACCGGTGAACAGAAACGATACGCATTCATTTTATCATGATATGTGAACGACGTCACGGTGATCAAACCCACTACTGAATAATATGATAATAATTGGAGATTAATAAATTCGTACATTAACATCGTCCTTATGCCACAATAACAAGCTTTACGATGAGGAAATCTAAGAACCTGAAATCTAGTAGAGGAACCTGTCGAGGCGTACGGTATCCCAGTGTAGAGGAGAAAAGAGCCGTCGGATGACACGCGCCCCACTAGCGTGCCTTGTTGTAAATGGACTTCCGGCGCAGGCTGTTCCACAAGGTTCATAGCCCATAACGAGATCAGCACCAACTTCTTGCGCCACCTCATTACTTCGCTGCTCTGTCGCACGCCGGGTTTAGCCTATTACGGAGCTCATGATTAGTACAATAAAACAAATCTACAAAAATCTTAGTATGCTTTCTGTTTATTAAAATAAAAATAAACATCACACACGGGAAGGTACTTTTCCAATGCTAACAATAAACAAAGTTACAACTTACAACTACGAGCCGATCACCGACTGACAGCTGACAGCTCATTGGCTATGCTTTTCATTAATCACTACTAGGTAGGTGTGGAATGGTAAATAGTAGCCGAGTTTTTCTTTTGTGGGGAAATATATGCTTAATATATGCGACGGAGATTTAGGCTAGAGATTGACCCATTGTCAACACAATCGACCGTTTATTCTATTAAATTTCGTAATCGATTATTATCGATTTCGATTATGAATTGTTAACCGTATGAGATATTGTAGTAAATGGATTTATGAGCACAGTAAATGTGTTATTAATGAATAATACCATGATGACTTTTAAAGAAAAATAAAATCATAAAAACTTGTTTTTCTTTATTAAACGGCGTGATTTAGTTAAATATGAGTTATTTTTTATATAATTACTTTTTTTACATATTTTTACCTTCTATAAATCTTTTTATACAAATTTATTTCTACGATCCAATTTTGTCTATTTCAACAGGAATCGATTAAACGACCCCCTCAAGGAACGAGTCTGAACATCTCTATTTGGTTATTTCTTAAAGATTCGTACATATTCGGTAATGTTCGGTAAACAGTAGTGTGTCTCGGTCACTCCTTGGCGTTTATGTCGTTATCTCTGTCTTGAGCGCAGCCATTAGGAAAGCGATTGTTTATTGTTAAATTTAACATAATTATATCTCTTTTGTTTTGTCTCTGTATTTTAGTGAAAGATAAGTGTTCGTAGACCTTATTCTCTTTGAATCAATTATTGGTATGTTAGTTTTGCTTGCTATAGGTAAAATCATTCATTTATCCTTTCATTATCATTAGTTTTCTTTACGAGTGTACATGCACCAAAGTTAGTCTAACCTCTGTTCAGACTTACCAAGTTACGTCGGCCGTATTATATTATACAATCCAATAAAGATGCACACAGTACGATTCTAATCAAAAGTATTTCTAAAATAACAAAACAGTAAAACTTACCTAATTCAAAATCTTCTCACAACTTAGGTTAGCGATACTATCCACCATGTTCCGGTACCTACAAGGAGTGGCCGACACTCAATTGCGACTCTTTCGCAAGTCCACTGAACAAACAAACCCCCTTCTTATCCCATGATTGTGTACCAAAAGTTAGGTGTAAACTGCCAGAGAGAGTGGGAAAGTTTTTCTCCTTGGAATAAACAATTTGGATTCACATAGTAGGCGAGGTCTAAAGGATTTTAGACAAAAAATTTCCAACCTTAACCTATTTATATTAAAGATTTATACTATACACAATTCAAAATCATTTTGTGTTTCAGTGAAAAAACAAAAATGATGCAATATGTAACAATTATCAGCAAACTTTGTATCGCTGTAGTTTTTTTAAATATGGCACAGCTCGTGTAAAACAAAATCGCTTTTGTTTTCATTGTCTGTTTCCAGGTGACGTCATGGGTTGTGCTACAAGTGACATGACTCCGTCTACATCATAAACAATGAGTAGCAGAATGATGGATAGCATTGTCCCATCAGTTCAAGTATTGATGTAATGGTAAATGCATTGTTGGCGACTGCTTAAGTACATGTTAAAAGTTTGAACATAATACTGTTTGAAGAGTGTATATTCAAATAGGTTGGTACTCAATCTTTTTTTATTTGTGAACTTGACCCAGTTATTACAGTCAAAAAGAAAGTTCAATACAAATTGACCTAGCAATTTATAAAGATTTAATTGCAAATTTACCGATTGAAGCAAAATATATCATATTCAAAGACTAGACATCATTTTCCATGTAAATCTATTCCAGAAAGGCATGCAACACACAACAAACCAGGACCTGTTGCTATGGAGCTTGACATTGAGGAATATAGATACATTGTAAGACAAGAAATAATTAAAGGACCATCTTTTACTCTGTGTCTCTGAAGATAGCAGATAGATATTACTTTCAATACAGCTAACACAAAAATGAGAAAAAATATTATTTGAGCATAGATATTATTAAGCTTGTGTATCAAGCTTTGTTATGATAGAGTATCCGTATCTTTTGCATTCAATTTTCTACACTTTCGTGCACTCATTGTGTTCAACAAAGCATGCCTTTAAAGAATTGTAGCCTGTAAATAAAGTCCTGGCGGCGTGTCGTGTTTATAATCTATATTTGTTAAAATTTCAATCCTTTGATAATGCAATCTGTGCATTGGTTGCTGATAAGTGTTTTGTGTAAAGTTTGTAAAGATTTTATTAGTTCCGAATAAAAGCGCCTGATAGAAAGTATATAAATTCGAGGTGTGCGATTCTTGTTTGAATTTCACTTTTTTGAAGCCAGCCAAGCGTACAAGTACATAAACAAGTATTTGACAACGATCATTGAAATTTCTAATTACTATCAGAATAGGCATTACGAGCTTCTTTTTGTTAGACAAGTTACCATTTAATAATTACTGATTTAAGATGTTACATGTATGTATGCACACTACAAGTCTCTTGCTCTACTCTACTTGTTCCGCTGGGCATATATGTTCGATTAACATCTTGAAATGCTGAATGCGGGTAGATCTCAGCATTTACTAATTCCGCCGACAGGCATTTGCGCACAAGCTGACCGCGACCACAGAATCATTTTGTTTTACAAGTATTGCAATTTCCCGAACATATTAGTGTTCGTGACAGCTACTGCAAGCGACTCGCCCAAGCTGAAGGGCTGAAGCGAATTTTTGCGAGGAAAGGTTAGGTAGTTGTTTTTTACTCGTATTTAGTGCCGGTGATCGATCGATGATTTAATTTATACAGTCCACTAAACATCGAACAACTTTGAAAGATTAAAAACGATCTTTGAACTAATATAGTTTTTTGAAGTTTTCAAATGCTAAAGAAAAAAGCTAATAATATAGAGCAAAATATTGAAGATTAAAGATTTGTGAAGAAGTGCCCTTTTAGTTTTATCTTTTTGATTTGTTTCTATGGTGTAAGGCTAATGATGAAAACTTTATGAACTGAATTTGGAAAGAACATTCATTAAAACAAAACGCTTTTTATACAGATCCCCCTTTGCCATATATCCTTTCCGTAAAGTAATAAACACACAAAACCTCAACTAAACTAAACATAATTAACTTAAATATAGGTACAAATTAGAGAGTAACGTAAAACTTACATAAATATTCAAGTATTAAACTCTAAGCGGACCTTTAGGATGCGCAATAAAAAAAAAAACACTATGAACGATTATAAACGATCGTTGAACAGTTCTTTGAAATTTAAAACGCCTGATAAAAAAATAAAGCAAAATTACATCGAAATTGATTGGTGTCTTTTAGTTTTAACTTTTTGATTTGATTCTATGGTGTGAGCTTGATATAAACTTGACTAAAAGTGAAGCAAATCTCCCAATTAATCAGTACAATCGTTTTTAGGTGATAGAGTTTTGTGTGTCGCAGTGTATTTAGCCAATTTCATTCTGCCATCTCGACATACATTTCGTAAAAAGCGAACTCTACGCACGACTTTTTTACTATGAATCCCACGATTTATAATAAAAAAGTCGTTAAAAATGAACAGAGGACTTTGTAGGATCAACAGAACGAGTAGCAACTCTGAACATGAATATTGCAGGCAAAATCATATCAATCATACAAACCTACGTATCTACAGCAGAGGCAAAGGAAAAAAATGGAATTATTCTATAAGACAATAGACTTCAACGCTAAAGTAGGAGGCCCCAGATAAAACGAAAATTTGGTTATGAAACAATTCGAGGTTGGAGAAAGAAACATAAGAGGTCAGCGACTTATAAATTTTGCTCTAGAACATGGGCTGACGGTTATAAACTCGTGTTTCGAGAAAAACAAAACCGCAGATGGACTTGGCGATCACCGCCCGGCCACAAGAACGAGTTTGATTATATACTCTCAAATCAACCGAAATCGTTTCAGAATATAGAAGTTATGAACTTTAACTACGCTTCAGACTACCGTCCTGTTAGATGCACAATAAACCTTGCCGCGAAAAAAAGAAATAGGTCCAATTTCAAAAATAATAAAACAAGTCAACTAAAAAATTCAAAGGAAATGAAAAACTTTAAAGAAAACCTATCATATTTTCTTTTGAAGTCAGTAAAAGAAAATAAGATAGGATAAAAGAGACTTCAATCTGAAAAAAGCAACTGACAACATCATAAATCATTTGGCGGGACTTTTAACGAAACTATTTAATTCAATACTTTTATCTTCTGAAACACCCAAAGAATGGTCTGAAGCGAATATTGCACTTATAACCAGTAAAGGAGACACCAGGAATATCAGCAACTACAGAGCAATAACGCTTATTGCTCTGTAGTTGCTGATATTCCTGGTTATAAACTTTACAGCGCTGCTGAAGTCCCAAATTTTATCTTAACACGTTTCACGTGCAGCTTGGTTGAATTGACGAAAACATCACTTGTTGAAATACATATTCAATAATTCTATCGCAATGGATATTGTTTTGTAATGCTAGAATATGTTTATAATGAAAAAAAAAGAAATTATTTTTATGTAATATCTTCTTGTAAGTAATAATTCTTTTAGCAATCCTTCTAGAAATCCTGCCATTACATTACATTATAGTACATAGTAGTTTTATGCTTTACGTTCCTTAATACATTATTTACTGCATTAATATTATAATATTGGTAATTTTAACATACATTATCACACTTGTTTTATTTTCAATGTTATTTGGAGTGATGCATTGCCGTCAGAAGAAACTCCTACCGCTTCGTTCTAACTCCTGCTGGATCCATCGGATATGGCATTTACGATATATAAGAAAAGGTATGTATCAAAATGTTTGATGTATTTAGGCGACTTTGAAGTTGTTCAAATCTAAGCCTTGCTTAACACTAAAAAAAATTGGGAAAAAGGGTACGTACGTACGCTGCGAGATACCCGTATCGAGATACTTATGCTACGAGATGTGTGAAAGAATGATTTCTTTTAAATGATGTCTATATAATCTTAAAATATTTTGGTATTTGGTTGTTACTTGGATAGTAACAACTATAACAATTTCTAAAGATGACGAGGTTTGCAAAAACAAATTTCGATCCCCAAAATAACTATTCTACGCGAAGTAGCTTACACAGCTAGTATTTACATATGCAGTAGAAGTCCAACACGTTTTAGAAAAATTGTATTTAGTTAAACGTCTCTGATGTAAAACGTTAGTATTACATCTTATTTCTCAACTTACTTGTACCGATTAAAGGTACATAAAATAGCTAAGCTCTTTTAGAAAGTTCTGTTTAATATAACACTTATGAGGACACGACGAGTGTTATACACTTTCGACAGCCAAACACAATCTATAAACTATTTCTTTCTTCAGACATTATAGCGCCTGATAAAAATATATAGCTAAAGTGCATGTAATCGAAATTGCGTGGTGAATTTGTTGCTTTATAGTTAAAATGAAAGAAAGACCTTAATTTAAACCTTTAGTTTCTTTTAGTTCTAGAGAGGTTTTAGAAAGTTGGGTTTGATATAACACTTTTGGCAGATAAACACAATCTTTAAACGATTTTTTTAAATTCTAGTAAATTATAAGTACTTCTTAACTTAATTTCTTAATTCTTATAAAACTTAATTTCCCTATTGCTCTTCTTATAAAACTTAATTTCCCTATTGCTCGGGATACCCCCTTCCCCTCTGAAAACAACACATTTTTTCTGAGCGCCATTCGCCTCCCCACGAAAGTCCCCCCCCCCAACCTCCTCAAATATTTTTTTTACCCCCTCTGGGTCTAACTTCGGTGATCCTGGTCCTAAGTCGTCGAGATTGGGCTCAGGAGATCCGTCTCGGCACGGCGAGTCTTTTGGCTCCAATAGATTTCCTCCCCCTTCCCCCTCCCCCGAGATCGGATTCTGTGTCTGGTCTGGTGTAGGTTGGGTTAGGTTAGGTTAGGTTAGGTTTTTTTTT